TTCTGAGCAGTTGGGAACTGGTAGCAGGGGATGAGAGACTGCAAGGACAGAGAGGTCAGGACCTTTGTTCCCTTCTGGCCAGGCTGCAGCTTGGAAGTTGGCCGCATTGCCCTAGCAAAGGCCACAGCTTACAGCTCTCCCCTTTGCCTGTCCTCCTGGCTTCCTCCCCCTGCCTCTTCAGGCCCAGGCTGGTAACAGTTTCCACTGTGCCAGCTCCAGAGTACGCCACTGTCCCTTATTCACTTTTCTCAGCGCTGCCCAAACCTTCATAAATAGTCCCTTCATCCTAGTCTCTTCAGTCTTCCTGTCCTGTCAGGACCCCGAGTAATACAAGAATTAACATATTATGGGCACATTGAGGGCAGAACGAGTTAGCGGCACTTAGGAGGGCATCTGGAAATGTGCACAAAGGGGGGAATCTTGCAGGGTGCCTAGGCGGTCCTCAAGTGGTCAAGGAGGAGATGGGAATTCAAGTGGAAGGGATAGGGTGTGCAAGGGCCAAAAAGGGTGAGCACAAGGGCTATGGGTGTGGAAAGGAGACATGTTTGGTAGGACTGGAGCAAAGAGCTCTTGGTGGAAAGTGGCAGAAGACGAGACCGGTGTGCCCTGCTAAGGAGTTTAGAAGGAGACACGGAGCCACTAAAGATTTGTAAGGAGGGGCAGGATATGCTCATCTCTTTATTCTAGCAGGGTTCCTTGGCACCACTGAGGGTTGACTGCAGAGGGGTTAGTCTGGAGGCAGAAGGTGAGTTAGGAGATTTTTTTTCTATATTTAGGAGGTGAGAGAGAGAGAGCATGAGAGCTTGAATTCTGACTGTAACACTGGAGGTGAAGTATCAAGGGAAGGGTAGGGAGATATTGGGGAGGTAGAATTAACCAGGATTTGGTGGCTGAGATGGAGAAAATCTCCCATCTCTTTTTCCTCCTGGACACACAACTACCTTTCCCAGTGTCCTTTGCAATTTGATGGGCCATGTGACTAAATGGACAGAAATGATGTATATTACTTCCAGGTTTAGCCCATAAAATTCTTCTACATAATCCTCCATGCCCAGTCTCTTCGCTTTCATGCAGAGAATATAGTGGAGGGCTCAAGAGGACTCCAAAGCCCAGGCAGGGTGACTAGCTGGAGGAATCCGGGCTCCTGAATGACCATGTGCCATGAGGCCCATGCCAACTGGCCTTGCACTGTAACATGAGAAATCAGTCTTGATTTTGCTAAGCCGAGGTCTGTGGGCTTTTTGTTACAGCAGCTGCATTCGTTCTCCCCGCTAATGAAGTGACCAGTTGCGTGTGTGAGATAGGAGTCAGCTCCCTTCCCTGAATGGCCCATAGCCTGTCATTCACAAAGTGATGTGGAATCTACCTCCTTAACTACTGTTTTGTCATGTGCCTTCTCTATTCCCTGAGCCCCTGGCCTAGTTCAGGCTCTCAGAATCTATCTTTGAATCCTGGAATAGTATTCTAAATGGTCTCCCTCCCTTCGGTGTTGGCAGTCTTCCTCCTCCTCAAATCCTCTACCCAGCTTGCTGTCAAAGAGATCTTCCTGATGATCGAAGTATAATACCATTCTTAAAACTTTTCAAAGTCTCCCCATTGCTTCTGGGATGAAGTCTAAGCTCCTGTGTATGGTCTTAAAGGCCCTCTGCTGTCTCCTGTCGTATCTCCCATCTGGCCTTGCTAAGAAACACAGTCGTCACCATAGCCACACTGCCATTCTCATGTCATTCCCTTTGCCTTGACTGCTTCCCCAATCCAATGGATCTGATGAATTCCTGCCTATATTTCAAGACTCAAACCAAATATCGCCTCCTATATGACAATTTCCCAGATTCCCCACCCCAGTGATAGAAATGAGCATTCCTCTTTTTGTCTGTTCCCTTGAGTAGTGGTGCTCAATTTTCTGCTTCCACAAGGTCCACTTTTGCTAAACTTTCCCAGCAGTTAACACTTCCCACTACCCTGCAGTGATTTTTAACTGTAGTTGGCATATAGCTTCTTAATGGGGTGTATTAGAAGCTTGGGGGAAATTTTAAACTTCACCGGTCTTCCCAAGAGATTCAGTATGTCTTTTCCATGCTCTCCAAACTATCTCCCCACATACACCTTGAGAAGGACTGTCATACAGGCTTCCTTTTTGTTTTTTTTTAAAAGATTTTATTTATTTGAGAGCACGTGAGAGAGCGAGACAGAGCATGAGCTGGGGGAGAGGGAGAAGCAGACTCCCCACTGAACAGGGAGCTGGATGGGGGCCTATCCCAGGACCCTGAGATCATAATCCGAAGGCAGACACTTAACCGACTGAGCCACCCAGGCACCCCTAGGCTTCTGACACACCACTAGAAGCACCCCGTTGTCCCCTCTGGTCTACACATCCTCTGCTAGTCACAATTTCCTGAAGGCTGAAAACCACACTCCTCTTCATGACTCTAGCAGCTCACTCAGGCCGGGCACAGAACTATCACTAAATGTATGGATGAGGAAGGAAACCAGAGGACAAGGGATTTCCAGGAGTGAATGGTCAGAGTGTCACCTGCCACAGATCTGGGAATTCAGGGGTCCCCAGGGACCTGACCAGGCAGGTTAGTGGAGTGCCGGGGCAGAAGCCAGATGGTGATTTTGCCAACCACTGAAAATTCCATGTAGAGGAAATGGTCTCTGGTGATAATATCCTAAAAGCCCGTAAAATGCAGAAATATTTATAAAGGTGAGCTTTCCGGGTTTCAAAAACAGGCTCCGATATCCCAACCTTTCAAAAAGAAGTGAGGTATTTTATGTGGTCAATCACTAGGATCTTAAGAACACAAATAATTTCAACCACAGAACTGAAATTCAACCATTTTCTTTAAGGCTATTGGTAACCTTTTATTATTCCATAAAGGGGCAGGTCCCCTGGGGGAAACAACAGCAGAGTCAGCAAATAAAGCTTTGACAAAAAGCTACTTTGTGTTCTGGTCTCTACAACAGAAGTATAAAAATGTTGGCATTTTAAAGCGCTTACTATGTGCCCGGCACTTATGGCCATGGGGAATATTTTTCATTACATCACACCTATTAAGACATAATTTATGAGCTTGCTGGAAACCAAGTGTCACTAAGGGGCAAGGAGAAAAAGTTTTTCTTTTTGTTTCTTGTTTTTCATCTTTCTCTTTGAAGGCAGGCTAGCAGACTGGATATTGCTCTCAGTGGCTTTCATTAACCTGTATCAAACCTTTAAATCAAATTCTTGAGTCTTTTTAAAAAAATAGGTGTTTAAAAGTCTCTGAAATCACAGTGAGTGCCTTCTCACCCCTTCCCTCCCTCCTTGCTCTGCTGTAAGATCCTTGCTGTCTAGAAACAAATGGAATGCAAGGGTTAGATGAAGAGAGGAAGGAGTTGAGGAGAAACTGGAGACAGAAGGTGGTATTCAGTCGCCTAGACCTAGAGAACCCAGGTCTCCAGCAGCCTGGTGGCAGTGGGACTAAAGGGGGACAGCCCTGTACAGGCACTGAGGCTGTCCTGGGGCACAGGTGTCCTCAGAGAACGGACCTCAGGGCCCCGGGAAAGTCGTGGCAGCTCAATGGAAATAGGAAAATGCACCCCTCCGCTGGGCACTTTATGCCTGTATTCTACTTCACCAGCCCGGCAGGCCACCCAGGTAATTACTGTCAGAATCTTCCAATTCTGGCTGAGAAACTGAGACTCAAAGAGATTAGGGATTTGCCCAAAGCTGTAGATATAGCGAGAGGCAGATCAGCCAACACATGTTTATGGAGCATCAAGAAAGTGCTAGGCTAGGGGATGGATGAGAGCCCAGGGTCCCTGTCCACTGGAGTCCACAGAGTTGGCACAAATAGGGAAGTGGTGGTGATGTGGGGAGGAGGTCACAAAAGGGGTTTACTGACTCTGTAAGTAAAGAAAAGGCTGATTTCGAATTTTTCCAGCATAAAAATCAAGCAGCAACACTTATAAGTCAGACGCTGTTAGCACAGCATGGAAGCCCTCCAGGTAGAGGGAGAAATGAGTCCGAGGTAGCTACTCCTCCCCCCGTGAGGCTGCGTGCGCAAGCACCTGGAACACGCCGCGACCACTCTGACATCTCAGCTGACGGGGGCCTCATCCACCACGGGGCCTTCCAGAGTTTTATGCACTGTCTACAGGGCTCCAAACCACAGAGTTTAACTGGAGAGCTTAATGCATACTGAAGCACTATCAGTCCATTGAACAAGATCACTAATGAGTTAATGAAATTGTCTTAGCACACCCCAATTCACTCCTATTTGATCTGGTGTCTTACATGAAAAATCAGAGCTTTGGTGTAGTTAATAGTTAATAATAGCTATTCTTAAGTAAGTACTTAACCAGTTACCATGCTAAATGCTAAATATACATGTTTTCATTTAATCCTCATAGAAACCCTATGAGATTTGATATTGTCCTCTTCATTCCCATTTTAAGGATGAAATAATGGAGGCTTCAGAGCGATGAAGTAGCTCGCCCAAGGCTGTGCTCGGCTGACAGCTGGCTGGGCAGCGAAGCCCCACGGCCTGAGGCTCCCCAACTGGACCACACTGCCAGGTTCTTTGTAAGAGAACAGGTAGTGAGAACAAAACTCATCTGCAGAATTAAGGCTTAAGGCAATACTTTTATTCATCTAAAACATTTCAGAGGAGGCCATTTCAAAATATTCTGGAAAACACCATAAGATCTTGTATTAGATGCAAGTTCAAAGTCCAAGTAAGAACCAGGAATTTTGTTAGAACATACACAATACAATTTAGCAACTCTATTGAGTATTTTAAAACGACACAAGTACCACACCAGGTTCTAATCCTGGCTTTGTGGCTTTCAGTGAATCATTTATCTCTCTGAGCCACGATTTTGCTCTCTATCAAAACATGGGGATTAAATTCCACCAGGGGGTTCCAGTTTCTTTATTCAAACAAAATCGTACTTGGGGTCCAACATCTAAAACACACTAAAAGCTGAGTATTTCAGTTTTGTGTCGTTTTGTTTTTCAGGAAGGGGAGGGTCCCCCCGCAGGCCAGCTCCTTGCTCACCTTGTGCCCCCTGAGGCATCCGGAGGCCTCTCCCTGAGCCCCAAGCCCAGAGCCCAGCAAGGCAGCTCCAAGAAGCACAGGTGAGAAACTACTGCTGTGAAATCTAACGACCCCGTGCTCCTTGCCACTCCATCCCGCGTGGCCCCTTTCACGTAGTGGGCACTTAATAAATATCGGAGAGGAAACGAATGGAATCTTACCCTGCCTTTTCGGAAACTCGGATATGTAGCTTTCATTTCCTCTGCTGACTGACCTACGCAGTGAAAGCGCTAAGATGGATCCTGGGGGAAACCAAATGTTACATTTATGGAAAAGCTGCTTTTAGATGCTGAAGTGGCTTCCAAGTTCACCATGGCCATAAGTTAAGGGTCTGTCAGCACTTCCATTATGAAAACCGCTTTGTGGTTTCATAACTTAGCCATAAAAGTTTGCTTCAGGCTATCCTTCGGCATGCAAATTGAAAACCTTGTTTTAAGCCAAAATGTGGGAATTAGAAAACAAAACAATTTATTGGTTTCAGACATAGTTTTGTACCCGTCTTAAGCCAAACAAGATTTATTATGTGGGCAATTAAAGTGGACTAAACCACTTGGTTCCTGAAAAATAAAAGAGGAGAGAAATGGCGAAACTATTTATATTTCAGAGAGTCCCTGGACATGACCATTCTTTTGGGCTATATTTTTATCATGGACTTTGTCCCCCATATTGATGAGACCTCAAGTCTATTTACGTATCTTTTTCCCTGCTTAAGCTGCTTAAACCTGAGAAATCATCTACTCAAAACCACTGACTTTTTACAAATTGGGAAACAGAGGCCCCAGCAAAGACATTCCGACCTGAATGCACCCTGCTGCTAGCGAGGAGGACTAGACCCAAGGTATTTGACATCCCAGCTTGGTGATGGGCTCACCCCCATTTCCCACCAGATCTAACCATTCAAGGTTCCAGGATTCTGCATTTTTCTGGCCTAATACCAAACACAACCACAAGGATGCCCCTGATCACACAGGAATTCACCCTCCTACACAGAGTATACGAGGTACTTTGTGACTTTGGTTACCTAAATCACAAGCCACATGCCATTGGCATCCTCATCATCACCTTGTTTTATGTCCTCTTCAGGCTGAGCACGGTTTCGAGCACTTAGAGGTGGTGGGTTGGTTACTGGATCACAGACTCTAATCTTATTAGGGAGAGACCCAGGCATGGGTATGGGGAGCAGCTTAAAGACAAACAGCTCAGAAACGCAACTGAACAAACGAGGTTGTGGTTACCATTCATCTGTTGTGAATGAAACAGATCGATTTATTTGTGACGCTGAGCCAATGCCTGACTAGACTGTGTCCCGGCACCGGGGAAGAGATGAATTTCTTGAAGCTTTAGACCCTCCCTCCTCTATGTTACCAAAGCCCCTCGCAGGTCCCTCTCACACTGTTGTAAATGTCTGCCTCCATGTCTGTCTCCCCTTCCAGACTGCATGTGGGGCAGGAACCAAATCTCATTCCTCTCCATAAGCGTCTGGCACAGGGACAGTACTCAACAGATGTTTGCTGAGTGAATGAACGACTGGATGGGGGATCAAACGCATGCACTTCCTGACAGGGCCTGTCCCTCTCAGACGTGGCTTCCCCAGCCTTCTCTTCACTACCCCCTCTGTCCTGCACAATGCCCCCGCTCCCACAGGAACGAGCCAGACCCCTCGGCAGTTGCCATTTATCTTTGCAAAAATGTTTTTGATAGAAAGAATGCAATTCTGGTAATCACAGCCCTGTAAAGTATTTTCTTAAGTCAGGAGAGGAATTTGAGTCAGAAAAATAGGAAATTTCCAGATACCTGGGGAGAAGATCGCAGCCGACTCCAATCTCTCTGGTCTCCACCTCAGGTTTGGCCTGGGTTTCTGTTAAATAGTCCAACCTGCTTTGTAGTTCATTATTCTAGGGAGGAGGAAAAAAAGTACTTTTAGTCAAGCAAATAGGTTCCCCCACAAACATGCGTGATAATATGTGTTATCCAATTTTCCCCTATGACATGGATATCTGTCATAATGTATTTAGTGAGCATCTCTGACATAGTAGGAATTAAAGAAATAGATTGTTTGCCTCCTTACAGATAGTTTTCTGTGCATGTACATACATATGTATCCAATTTTACATCAGTGAAAACAAACAAAATACCCTGTTCTGTGCTAAATTTGAGGTTTTTTCACTCAGCAATTTGTTGTGAATATCTTGCCATGTTTATTAGTTTTCTTTTTATGTCAACAAGCTATTTTAATGGGTTCATAGCGTTCCATTGTGTGGATGTACATTATTTATTTAACTAGTCTCTTATTGATGGCATTTAGATATTTATCACTTCTTGCAATTATAAATAAGGTACAGCTCATGTTTTAATACTCCCTTATTAAACTATAAAATGAGTAAGTCTATTAATTTAATTTAGTGGGAAATACCTCTATAACTTAATAATTAGTATTTCATAGGTTTGGAAAATTCAGAATCTCAAACATATAAAGTAGAACAAGCTCCTTGGGATTAAAATTAGCATTCTAAATAGTTTTTTTTTCAGGCCAGAGCCAAACATTACATAGGTTGATGATTAGATGCTTAGGAATTGGAAATTTGCCCCATGGGGGAAATGAAGGACAAAGGAGCAAGAAGGTTGAGGTTATTGGAATGGAAACAGAAGAAGGAATGGTGCCTGACACCTAAAGGGCAAACATACACAAAATCCAGAAAGAGGTTAACAGTGGTTATCTCTGGGTATTGTTTTTTGAAGTTCTTCTATATTTTTCTGTAATGCTAAATTTTCTCTTTTTGTATATTACTAGTTTATTTTTTTTCATCGTGAGAAGTGTACACTTTAATTCCCATCACCTATTTCACCCATCCCTCAACCCACGTCCCCACTGGTAATGATCAGTTTGTTCTCTAGAGTTAAGAGTTTGTCTCTTTTTTTTCCTTTGTTCACTTGTGTTGTTTCTTAAATTCCACATGAGTGAAAGCATATGGCATTTGTCTTTCTCTGACTTATTTCGCTTAGCATTATACTCTCTAGCTCCATCCATGTCGTTGCAAATGGTAAGATTTCATTCTTTTTTATGGCTGAATAATATTCCATTGTATAAATATATAACACCTCTTCTTTATCCATTCATCTATCAATGGGCACTTGGACTGCCTCCCTATTTTGGCTATTGTAAATAATGCTACTATAAACATAGGGGTGCATGTATCCCTTTAGTTAGAAGTTTAAAAATTAGTATTTTTGTATTCTTTGGGTAAACACCCAGTAGTGCGATTACTAGATTACCCTAGTAGTGCTAGTTCTATTTTTAATTTTTTGAGGACCCTCCATACTGTTTTCTACTGTGGCTGCACCAGTTTGCATTTCCAGCAACAGTGCAAGAGGGTTCCTTTTTCTTCACATCCTCACCAACACTTGTAAGACTAAATTTTCATGAGGCAATACCATATCTATCTTCTTAGCTATATTCTCAGAGCATAGCATGTCAGAGATGCAAGATAAATATTTATTGAATAAATAAATGTATAAATACTTTTATAAGGTGCATGTAATTTGCATGATTAGAAAAAAATTAAAGCGTTTGTCTTTTCAGTTGGACCTGAAGCTAAATCACTCCTCTAAGACACTAGATTAACACATGAAAGTTGAAAGGTTCTTTGAAAAAGAAGCTAATCTGTTTCAAAAGAAAGAGTGTGGGGTGCAGCTCGGTAGCTCCTGCTCTGAATAGGTGATACTAAGGAGCAGAGCAGCAGCTGTCGTGTTCAAACTCATGTTCTGTAAAGGTCTGTGGATCCCTTCAGAAAAACTGGGAAATGGTGGATAGGGAGAGAATGCGTTCCAGATTCCCCAGCAGCTGACGAGCCATGGCAGCTGGATGGGCTCCAAATCTATCACCTAACGCTCAGGGGCGCCTGGGTGGCTCAGTCAGTTAAGCGACTGCCTTCAGCTTGGAGTCCTGGGATCGAGTCCCGCATCGGGCTCCCTGCTTGGCAGGGAGCCTGCTTCTCCCTCTGACCCTCCCCCCTCTTGTGCTCTCTCTCTCTCAAATAAATTAAAAAAAAAAAAAAAAAGAAATATCACCTAACGCTCAGGATGGGAGAATGTTGCTGGCTTACTACCTGAGGTACAACATTTGCACACACAAGTGCACACACGTACACATAGCTTTCCCAGCAGTAGTTGGATTCTCGCATTCTTTAGGAAAGACACGGACAGAAGAGGCTTGCGCATTAACAAGCTCCAGAAACCCCACTGCCTTGTCTCTTCTCAGTGTAGAGTTTAATAATGAGGATTTCACACAATTCTGAGCTAACTACCTCTAGTTAGGGGGCATGAAAGACAGACAAGGTTAGTAAATATGCCCTACTGGTACAACGAATACAGTGAATGGTGAACAAGGAGCCACAAATCCTTTGTTCTATTTCAGAGGAACTCTGTGTGTGCACAGCAGATACCCACTAAAAGCTGAAATGAAAAACCTGTACTCTTAAATTTCAATGCAAAAAAAAAAATTTCAAAAACTATGCATCAGGTAGTGTGTAAAGTTAGGTGAGGGGAGCTAGGTAGCAGTTAAAGATTGGGGCATGATTTGCAACCCCTGAGTTTGGTCTTGTGGGGGTACAGACAACCAAGCAGAAAATAACAAAGTCCTAAATCCCATGCCAGAGAGACCCATAGAATGGTAAGGGAGAACTCAGAGGGGACGTGGAACTCAAGACAGGGAAAATGAGTGAACTCCATGAAGGTTTGCTGGAGTTATGCAAGGGAAAGAGAGGAAGAGAAAGGGAGGAGTATTCCAGGATTGTGGAACATACCAGATTGAGAACAAGCACCTTGCTGCAGTATACAGGTAGCAAGAGTTACAAAGGGCTACATCTGCCTTTACAAGGACTTTATACCCAACCCAATAAGCCCAGAGTCAACACTAGATTTTTATTTCAGTCACTGGGCTTCCAGGTGGAAACTGTCTTGGAAGGAAATAAAAATCTGGGCAAAAGGAAATATGACTCCTTGATTAGTCAAGGAGGCCACTGCAATTTCCTAGTTCAAGGCTTGAGAGCCACATTTATAGCATTGAGGAGTGGGGCACATAACCAATGGATCCTCCTACAAAGAATAGCTATAAACTCTGGACAGGAAAAAAAAACCATCTATTACGGTCTTTGGATACTGAACAAGGACAGGCAAGCTGTAGGGGCTGTGACATGCTTAGAATGGGTTCTCTGTGACTCAGTTGTTTGTTTTTCTTTGCAGCTTTGCCCAAAAACAGTATAGTCGTCGTGGCAGCAGCACAGATACTTTAGAAATTCAACAGAAAGATCATCTTTCTGGTAGATACAAAATAGTAGGAGTCCAGCATAACCAGGACTGCCAAGAGTAAAGGGGAAGCCAAAGAGGGAGTTAGAGAAGGCGGAAATTTTAAACTCTGTATATAGACTCAAGTCTCTGGCAGGAACCCCCCCCCGCCCCCCCGAACCATGCATGTGTTGGGCTAAATGAAAGAAGTTTGCAGCCAAGGCTTCAAGAACTGAACTGAGATCTGAGCCATCACCCACAACAGCACGGCAGGGTGGAGGTGTGTCTAACCAAATTCATTAGCTAAAACAAAAACCTCAGTGCTGTTCAGAACAATAAAGCAATCCAAAGTCTCCACAACAGAACCTTTACAATGTCCCGATTATAATCCAAAATTACTAAATTTGTGAAGAGTCAGGAAAATGTGACCTATTTCCAAGGAGAAAGAGAATCAACAGATGCCAATCCTGAGATGACTTGGATGTTGGAATTTTCAGACAAGGACTTTCAAGCAGCTATTATATAACTGTGCTCAATGAGGTAAAAGAAAATATGCTACTAACTGATGTAGTAAAAAAAAAAAAAATCCACAAAGAAAGAAAATATAAAAAAAGAACCAAATGGAAATTTTAGAACAGAAAAATACATTGCCTGAAATTTTAAAAAATCACTAGACTGAAGAAGAGAATGGAGATGACAAAGGAAGGAGTCAGTAAACTTGAAGACCTCTTAACGGAAATCATTCAATCAGGGGCGCCTGGATAGTACAGTCAGTTAAGTATCTAGCTCTTGGTTTCGGCTCAGATCATAATCTTAGGGTCATGAGATGGAGCCCCATATTTGACTCCATGCTCAGCGCAGAGTCTGCTTAAGACTCTCTCTCCCTCTGCCCCTCCCCTGCCACACTCTAAAATAAATCTTTTTAAAAAATCATTTGATCAGAATAAAATGAAGAAAGCAAAGATTGGAAATAATAAATGGAGCTTCCTGGAACTACGGGACAATTTCTAATGCCTAACATAGGGATACTGGAATCATAGAAGGAAAGGATAAAGAAACTAGAGCAGGAAAAATAGTCAAAGAAATAATGGCTAAACATTTCCCAAATTTCGTGAAAGACATAAATTTGCAAACCCCAAGAATCTCAGCAAACCCCAAACAGAATAAATTCAAAGAGAAATCTACCTTGGCACATCCTAGTCAAACTACTAAAAAACAAAGAAAAAAATCTTGAAAGCAATCTTGTTACATATATAGAGGGAAATAATTTGAATTACCACAGATGTCTCATCAAGAACCATAGAAGTCAGAAGACAGCACTAAGAGAAAGAAACTCATCCCTGAATGCTCTATGACTCAATAATGAAGGTGAAAGAAAGAGCTCACTTTCAGATCAAGAAAAACTAAGTGAATTTGTCCCCATGTTGCTACACTACACAAAATGCTACATAAAAGGTCTTCAGGCTGAAAAGAGATGGTATCAGAGAGAAACTGAGATTTTCAGGAATGAATGAAGAACATCAGAAATAGATACTGTATGAGTAAATATGAAAGACTGCATTTTCTCTTAATTTCTCTAAAGTACATATGACTAAAGCAAAAATTATAATGTATTGTGGGTTTATAATGCATGCAAATATGATACCTATAATAACTATGACAGCAGGGGGAGGGGTAAATGGACCTACATCATTGCAAGATTTCTACATTTTACACAAAGTAGTACAATATTACCTTTAAGTGGACTAGGAACAGTTAATAATGCATGTTGTGATACCCAGAGCAATGGCTAATATATTAGAGAAAAGAGACACAGCAAAATGCCAATAGATATATTAAAATGGGATTCTAAAAAATAATCCAAAAGAATACAAGAAAGGGGGAACAAACAAATAAGCAAAACAAACCAGAGGGAGTAAACAGAAAACAAATAATAAAATGACAGACCTAAATCCAGTCATATCAATTATTAAATGTCAATGGACTATACACTCCAATAAAAGAGACTATCAGAATATATTTTAAAAAACAAGACTTAACTATGTATGGTCTATAAGAGATGCACATTAAATACAGAGAGGGTGGGGGGGCTCCTGGGTGGCTTAGTTGGTTAAGCGACTGCCTTCGGCTCAGGTCATGATCCTGGAGTCTCGGGATCGAGTCCCACATCGGGCTCCCTGCTCAACGGGGGGTCTGCTTCTCCCTCTGACCCTCCTCCCTCTCGTGCTCTGTCGCAAATAAATAAAATCTTTAAAAAAAAATTTAAAAAAAGAAAAGAGAGTGGGAAAAGATACACAATACAAACAGTAAACTTAAGAGGGCAGGAACAGCTATATTAATGCCAGATAAGAGAGACTTCAAGACGGAATATGAACAAGGCAGTGACCAACATTTCATAATAATGAAAAGGTCAATTCATCACCAGGACATAACAATCAAAAATGTATATGTATCTAATAACGGAGCTTCAAAATATATGAAGTAAAAAAAACAAAGAAATAGATGGTCTAAAACCATAATAATGGATTTTAACACCCCTCTGTCAGCAATTGATACAAGTACACAAAAATCAGGAAGAACATAAATCAGATAAACAATACTACCAACCACCTAAATCTAACATATTTATAGAACACAAAAACAGCAGCATGCCTCTTTTTTTACACTAAGAGAAACCATGTGCTGAGCCATAAAACAAGTCTTGATAAATTTAAAAGAATTAAAACCATACAAAATATGTTCTCTGACCATAACAATTAAATTAGAAATCAAAAACAGTATGATACCTAAGAAAACCTCAAATATTTGGAGGTTAAACAATACACTTCTGAATAATCCATAAGTCAAAGAAGAATCTGAAAGGAAATTAGAAAATATTTCAAATTGGATGATGAAAATACAACCTATCATAGCTTGAGGGGTGCTGCTGAAACAGTGTTCAGGGGCATTTATAGCTGCTGATAGTAACAAAGAACAGAGCTCTAAAATCAATGGCCTAATGTCCACCTCAAGGAGCTAGAAAAAGAAGAGCAAAGTAATACCAAAATAATTAGAAGGAAGGGAATAATGAATATCAGAGCAAAACTCAATACAATAGAAAACAGACAACAGAGAATATCAACAAAGCCAAAAACTATTCTAATTTTTTAAAACATCAACAAAATTGATAATCTCCCAGCTAGCCTGATCAAAGAAAGGGGGGTACAAATAAAAGGGATCAAAGAGAAGCTAAAAGGAAACAACTGGATATCTATGTGGAAAAAAATATATTCCTTACTTCACACTGTTTGACAAAAACTAGCTCCAAGTGGATTACAGATCTCAATTAAAAAGCAAAAACTATAAAATGTTTAGGGAAAACCCTAGGAGAAAATCTCTATGATTTTTTGTAGTAGGCAAAGATTTCTTAGCACACAAAAAGCATAAACCATAAAAGAAAAAGTTGATAAACTGAACTTTATCAAAAATAAAAACCAAAAACCATGTCTTCAAGAAAATAAAAAGACGGGCACCTGGCTGGTTCAGTTAGCATGTGCCTCTTGATCTTGGGGTCATGAGTTCGAGCCCCACGTTGGGGGTAGAGTTTACTTAATTTAAAAAAAAAAAAAAAAGTCATGAAATGGGAGAAGATATTCACAATACATGTATCTGACAACTGATACCCAGAATATAAAAACAACTCTTACAACTCGATAATAAGAAAACGAAAAACAAAAGAGTACAAAAGAGCCCATACTCTAGGATTTCATTTACCAGAGAATGCAAACAAGTCCATAGTGACAAAAAGTGATAAAGTGACCCCTCCCACTGGAAAAACAAAAACAAAAACATCACTGGCTGCCTGGAGTGGAACAGAGAAAGGGAAACAGGGAGTCTCTGGGAAGTGGTGGAACTGTTCTGTATCTAGATTGTGGTGGTGGTTTCACAGGTACATACAACCGTCAAAAGTCACTGAACTAGACACTGGTTTTTTTTAGCTATAATCGACAGATCACATTATAGTAGTTTCAGGTGTACAAAATGATGATTTGCTATTTATATATACTGTGAAATGACCACCATAATACGTCTAGTTCCCATCTATCACTATACACTTTACACGGATGAGGTTTATGTAATTGAATACACAAGGCTGACAAGAAAAAAAAAAGGTGAGAGCCTGAATATGGGCAGTAGGAGACAAGTTAGAAGAGGGACAGATTAAGAAATAGTTAAAACCGAAAAGTGCCAGGACTCAGTCCAGGAAGACAGAGACTCTGCACTCCGTCCCACAGACTGTACCTAAAGCGAACCCACAAAGAGCAGCCTCACTACTGCCTGGCTTTGTGCTCCCTACAAGGTTGTTTGCTTCTGGGACTGAGCCTCCAGTTCCACGGTTCTCCTGCTTTCAAACATCGCCCCCTTGTGTTCAGATGTGAAATGCAGCTCAGGAGGCTGCATGCCTTCCAGGAACCAAGGACCTGATACTGCACCTCTTGGCATTTTTTGGAAATTACATCACAAATGTACGGCAGCCACCTCCTCCCCCAACTCTCTCGGGCGCAGGGGAGGGAGCGGCTGGAGCTGTAGCACATGCACTAAACAAGAATGTACATCCAATAAAATGCGGACATGGAGCCCCGGTGCCTGGAGCTGCCGCCCCGCTAGTACCCTGGAAAATTAATAATCGTCCCAGGAATGCGCAATGGACACGCTGAGAGGTTTACGTACCATACAACACACATTACGTGCAGGATGAACAAAACCGGGACATGAGACTCCTTTCCTCTGACCTTTGAATTTTGCTGTAAGTTCAGAATTGTCAGCAGAGAAAAAAGGAATGAAATCAGTTCAGAGTTTCAGAAAGCTGATCTACTTTACGGAGGTATATACTTATGATTTTATTTCAGTAACAGTTTCTATATCGGAAATAGGGAATGGGATATTCCTTCAGGAGGCAGGCAAATATAAATTGTTGGGAGAAAAAGAAAAAAAATGAGCATATTTTTGTATCAGGAAGATTTTGCATTGCTTGATGAAAATGCAGTCTGATGGGGCCAGGCTTGAGCAAACTTCTAGGGATCTGGTGGGGCTAGGGGCTCAAAATCTGATGAGTAAGCATCAGTAAGTACCAATGATGGATTCAGAGACCAAAATGTTCCACATTTTCTATTTTAAAAAGGAAGGTGGGGAGGAGAAGGAAGAGGAAGAAATGTGTATCAGTGACAATGAAAGGAGACCCTGGGGCCCAGACAATTGGAAAAACAGTAAACACATATGGCATTTACAGTGAGCCATGTACTTTTCGAATCACTTAATATTAACTAATCCTCGTAACAACTCTATGGGGGAAGACACCATTTTAGAGAAGACTCCCTTTAACAGATGAGCAAACAGAGGCCCAGAGCAGTTAAGTAACTTGCTCAAGATCCCAAAACTAGTACGTGGCAGAGTTGAGAATTCAGGCAGCCTATCTCCAGAGTCCGCAATTAGGCCCTTAATAAAAGGTAGCTACTTTATTAATAAGATGGAATATAAGAGGTTACCAGATCTGTCTATCAAAACTTCGCAAGGATATTTGAAATACCACTTTTGGCATCATTCTGGTTTAAAGCAGGCGATGGAAAGCTGTGGTATAAAAAGGACTGGTGTTAGAACAGGCCAAGAGCATAGAAATTCTAAGTGGCCAACAGAACCCTGCATTGTAAAGTGATATAATTAAATTTGGAAAATGTCAGTGTGACTTCATAATCTCAGAAAGACACATATTGCCCCCAATTCTGTCATGATTAAAATCGGCCTAACAGTAGACACAGTGCTTTAGCCATGACCAGTTCCCATGTCCAGGTAGTTTTCAACATAGTTCACCACTAAAATGAACCAGGCCTCCTTGGAGACAAGCCAATACCACATCTTGAAACCGGACAAAAACGAGGATGGCAAGAATGAACCCAGAAGCATCAGGAACCCTGCGATAGAGGCAAAGAAGCTGATGGAAGAGAACTCTCCCCAGCTGAGTCGTGACAATTTGGGCATCAAAAAAAGGAGGAGGAGAAGGAAACTATTATTACGGAAACAAGGTGGTCTGAGAAATACCTTATGTTCAACAGTGTCTCTCAAAGGGAAAGTTAATAGAGAGTGTACACAAAGATAGTTTTAAGAGAAAAAAGGGTGACCATAATAAGCTATGTCACAATTTATATTGATTTTTAAAACTAGAAAGCATTAAAAAAAACAAACTAGAAAGCATTAATATATAAGGTGATGTAGTTTCTTTTATAGAGTATTAATTATATGTTTGTTTATAAAATTTGTGTCGAGTAAGAAAGAATTACAAAATGAATGAAAAGTCAGGCCATCCCAGGACGTTAGGGCCCACGGAAGGACTGCTTGGCATTGGTAATCCTACGAGAACCAGGTGGGAGGAGGGGCAGAGACCCACTGCCATTAGCAGGTACATACACTTAACAAGGAACCAACAGTCCGCAGTGTGTTTGTACCGTAATAAACTAGGCAAGCAGCCTGAAGAGGAAAACCAAGTACTCAAACTCAACCTCTCATCTCCTAGGAGATGAAATCTATCTACCTGGCCCAATAAAGTAGGGTAAAATGTTAATAAGGAATACATAGTTCTTAATAGTTCTGAAAACTAGGTCAGTGCATCACGATGATAAGGGGTCCTGACTTTGAATCGCCTTGAAGCCTGAGTGTACCCCCGTCCCCCCGAGGATCAGCAGCCTCTGACCTTAGCTACTCAGAAAAGTTACTCTGTCTCCTTTGGATCTGAAAGATCCCTGCCCCTGTCTGGAAAGTGTTACAATGATGTTAACTCTAAGAACACACTGAAATTAGTAAAACAGCCCTGGGAAGATATAAAAAATAAGAACAGAAACAACAAAGAAATAAACACTAACCCGCATCCCCCAGGAGCAGGCCTCAACCAATGGCCGGAGGGAGTCAGTGGACCAAGGCCCAGCTCTCCGACCTTTAGGTAAGGACAACTCAAGAGGCCAGTGCGCAGCGTCTCCTGGAGACCGCCCGGTGGGAGTGAGCTGCGGCTGCCACGATGGCAGCCTCCTCGGCAAGGCACCATCCTCTCCCTGACTCATCCCCCCACCTTCCTCTACTGGGGCTTCCTGGGATCGTCCACCAAACCTACCATGTGGACTAATAGCCACATCTCAGGGTCTGGGCAAGAGGGGCTTAAGAACTCGAGCATTAAAGCCCCCGCGTGTGTGATGCTGTTCTCTACGCACAGGATCCCCTTGTGCTTTCATAATCTACTAGCAGGAGAGCTGGCTTGAGGGGCACAGGGTGTGGGGGGGCGCTGGTGGGCACTGCCTCTCCTGTCAGCATCTTCTTCCCCTCTCTGGACCCACGGGCTCCCACCAGGACACTCGCTTCAGATCTCACTGGGGAAGAAGGTGTGATTCCTCCCACTGGGAGCTGTGATTTGGGAGGAAGTTCTTAGAAACGTCCCATCGTAAGGCTGGAGCTGCACATAGGGACTGCGGAGAGGAAGGCAGGAGGGGGACAGGGCAAGTGCCCATTTACTCGGCTGTCCCCACACGGAGACTCTTGAGCTTGAATCTACCCCCAGGTCCCTGTGGGCCATGACTTTTATAGGCAGCTCCCCAAACACAGAGTACATGAAAACACAGTTCGTCCTTCCCACAAACACAGTGGTTAAGAGCCCAGGCTTTGAATTCAGGCTTACCCATTTCTACTGTCACCTTGGGCAGGCTCCTTCATGCCCCTGAACCTCAGTCTGCCCATCTATAAAATGGGAGAAAGACAATCTAATTCCTAGGGCATTAACTTAAGAGGTTAAGAAACATGCCAGGCACGTTCTCTGCACTCGCACTGCCCGGTCACACACATGTAGGTGAGCTACCATCCTCGTTCTGTAATTCTAAGAAAGCTCCCAGCATCACCCAGCTAATAAGAGGCAGATCTAGGGTTCAAACTTGGGCAAGTCTGATTCCGCTCTTAGCCTCCACATTACACAAAGCATGTGGAAAGCAGTTAACAGCGCCCAGCGACACCAGGTGCTTCACCAATGTCATCTCTGTCCTGTCTCCGTCCTTCATCATTGTCTCCTGGGCTGTCTCCCTCGGGGGAAGAACTATGTTGAGGGCCACAGACAAGGAGAGATTCATGAGGCTCAAAAGGAAGAGGCTCAATGCCAAGCTCTTAATAAAGAGCCTTCAGAGTGAATAGATATTGGCTTCTCCTTCCATTAATACCTAAGCTCTTAAGGTTCTTCCAACTCCATAATTTCCTTTTCTGGAACCTACACCAAATCTTCAAAATGACTTTCAAAAAAGCCAGAAAGTCAGGAAGACTAAATATCTTCAAAGTTTCAGGTGAAATTAAGTCACCTCTAAACCTGTTGACTCAGTGTCAGAGCAGTGGATTCGGAACCCATCTCTCAGCTTTGGCTCCAGCGTTAACCAAGCTGGGTGATCGTGAGCAAAACCACCTGCCTTCTCCGGGCCTCCTCTTATTTTTTTTTTCTGGGCCTCCTTTTGAAACATTTGTCAATATAAAGTAATGATCCTTGTCTTGCCTTTCTTAAAGTTGCTGAGAGAACCATGTGAGGAATGTCCATGAAAATACCTCACAAGTTATAAAGCCCTACATACATGTGGGAAATTATCAGTGTTATTTAACAGCTTATCAGACTTGCTAGGAAAATTCTTGAACAAGAAAAATGAGAGCCAAAAAGCAGAGGTGGGCAGCAGTCTGGGATAAGGAGAGTCAGTTGGTAAAGAAAAACTAGCTGTCAGAATCTCATTTTCAGTGTTGGCAGTTAACCTTCAATCAATTTTATAAGGCCAGGAAATAGCCATATTTTTAATTAAGTGTCTGTGGTAGGCTCAGCAACATAAAATTTAATGATAGAGAAGACACCAGCTTAAAGAAACACAGCTTCTTACCTCTCCTTCTAAGAACGAGATCTTTTCTAAAAGCTGCAATATTAAGAGCTGTTTCTGCTGCACCTTTTTCTTTAATGATTCAATCTAGAAAGAAACAAATTAAAAATTGTTAATAAAAACAATAAAGAATTGTAGAAGTACAAGTTAATCAACCGGAAGAGACGCCTTTGGTTTTCATCTAAATAGAACCCTCACTTTGGTTCTCTGTGTCTCATGGAACAGTGTTTAACACGAGTTGCTCCCCGGAATAGAGGGTTCTGCAGCCACATGATTTTGGAGTCACATCTCATTAGGTTTGTTTGACACACTGATTTTGCTGTGTAACCCTTATTAACATCCCATATATGTGCCAGAGAGCATGCTTTGGGAGATGCAGATGCAACTCTACATAAAATAATTATTCAGCTTAAATTTGTGAGGCAGCCCACATTTCAAACATTCAGCGCTGTTATTCCTGCTAGTAGATTCATATTTGTTCAAGCAGGTGTCAAAAGTTTTGGTCTGGGAAAAGGGTCACTGTCACTAAAAGTGCAAGTGGAATTAAGAGGATCCAGGACTCATGTGGCCTGGGATAAAGAGACTTGAGCTGGGTGTTCACCTTTGTTTTTACAACATGGTCTATCTTCAGCTACTCTAACTCTGCTTTTCATTCATCTCATGTTCCACAGACCAACCATAGATGCCCTAAAAGCAGGAACCAGGGTGCTCTATTCCAGGCTATGTTGTAGACGATAGACAATCGTGGGAACAGTATGCGGGTTCAGTCAATAACTGGTGATTTTGAAGAACACGCTAATTTTCCAACAATCTCGTATATTCAATTTGTGCATTTGCAAAATCTTTTTGAAAAATCCTTCTCAGTGCAAAATGACACATAATCCCCCTTTAGAAGTGAATCTGGAAGGAGCTAGGATAAGAAAAAAGTACAACTGCATTGCCCTTTGACCCAGCAATCCCATTCCTAGAAATAGATCCCCAAAGACACATTGGCTAAAATATAAAATGACTTGGGCGCCTGGGTGGCTCAGATGGTTAAACATCTGCCTTCGGCTCGGGTCATGATCCCAGGGTCCTGGGATCGAGTCCCGCATCGGGCTCCTGGCTTGGCGGGGAGCCTGCTTCTCCCTCTGACCCTCTCCCCTCTCATGCTGTTTCTCTCCTGCTCACTCTCTAATAAATAAATAAATAAGATTTAAAAATAAATAAATAAATAAATAAATAAATAAAATATAAAATGACTTGGACGAAGGATTTTTGGTTTTTAGAAGACACAAAGGAAACAGAACTCCATCAATCAATAAGTGGCTAGTTAAATAAACCACGGTTCATCATGACAATGGACAGCTATGAAGATCTTTAGAACAGATACGGTATATTGTAAGGAATATACAGTATGAAAGCTTTAGCGTAAAACAGATGAGGCCATCTGAATGCATATATATTTGCAAAAAGAAATTCTGCAAAGATCAAAGAAACCTTAATTATTAAGAAATACTTGCCAACAGGGAAAGAAGGAAATTAGAGGAGGCAGAAGAAAAGATTTTTTGATAATACCTTCTTACCTACATTTAATTTTGAAAGCACATTTTAGAGATTAAGAGAATAAAACTAAACCAAAAAGAAAAAAAAGCGAATCTGAAAACTTGAAAACAAATCGAAATAAAGGAACTTAACTGTATATCCAGTTGGTGAAAATAACTCAAGTGTTGTTTGAACAAGCTAATTTGATTCTGTTTTTAGTGGATTGTATTCTAAAAATAAACAGAACTGCAAAGAAATCTCGTATTCACTAGGAAAACTGTTGGTAATAATATTGGTATTGTTGTTTTGAAACTATTTGAGATTTTGCAGTATAATAATGTTTGGAACCAAGGTTTTAGTGTAAGAGAAAGAAATACAATGTGAAATCAAAGAAATAAAGTTTTGTTAAATTTGAAATGAAAATATCGGTATGAACTCATAATTAATATTTTATTTTCATTTGTTAAGTATGCTTTTCCTAACTCTGTCCACTGAGGAAACTTAGATATAATAACAACAATAAGCACATAACATATCCAGATTGTGGCATCTAAATACCAACCCTCACCAACAAAACACAGGTCATCTTGGAGGAACAACTCATTTCAAGGTGTAAAAATATGCTAGGGGAACCCAAGACACCTTGTGATGCCTGAAAACAAATACTTGAAGGGTCTCCCTTGGGCCAAGGATTGGAACAATGTTAGCATCAAAAAGAATAATGAATGTAATTGAGTCAAACACATGGAATAAATATGTTTTTAAAACCTTGAGTATGTTATGATTCTTCAAAAACTGAAACCAACAGCAACACCATTGGGAGTGACTAGGGAACCAATTCCTTAGAAACTTGGCAACTTAGAGGCAGAATAAAGCATGTAGCCTGCCTTTCTTGTACAAACTGCATTTTGAGATTACTAAGAAGTCCTAGTTAATGAGGGAAAGAGTTTTATTTTTCAGAAGAATGCCAGTGAAGGGGGAAAGAATGATGGATTTAGAAAATCACCATTGTGCAATCCCTAGGAAATAACTGGCTCATTATATTAGAAGAATTAACAGATGAACGAGTCAGGGGCACAGCTAAGGAGGAACTTTACAACTGTGTTTTGGGGTGACCCCATCTGAATCCGTGATTGGCCTCAGCATCACCCAAGGCAATCAGACATGACGCACCGCCGAAGACAGAGTAAATCGCACAGCCCCAGGAAGTATCCTTGCTTCCACCCGCAATAAAGGTAAAACTGAATCTCACCAAGCTGCTAGAGCTAATAAACAAAAAGTCAAATCCCGAATGTGGGAACGTTTATAGGACAACTGACTCAGTTCCTGCAATGTCACTGGGTGCAGAAACCTCGGCAGGGGAGGAGGGTACACAGGGAGAAGCATGTTCTAGATTAAAAGACTCTAGAAACATAACCACCAAACAAATGGCGTCTCTGTATACTGACAAAGCTTCAGTAAAAAAGCCATTTTAAAGACATTTCAGAAAATTTTAGGACCGATGGGTATTACATGATACCAAGGAATTATCATTAATTTTGTTCAGTGTTACAATGGCATTATGAGTATATAAGAAAAAGTCCATATGTTTTTGAGATGGATAGTGAAGTGTATAGGAAACATAAGCAGGATGTCTGGGACTTGCCTTAAAATTACAAAACTACACGAGGGGGAAAAAGAGGAAAAAAAGGGGCAAATAGAGCCAAGTTCTGCTGTTTGTTGAATCTGGTCATGAGTCTAAGGGGCTTCATCGATTAGTGTCTCTGTCCTGAGTGCATCTGACATTTTCGTGATAAAATATTTTAAATTCCGCCCAGTGCCAAAAAATATAATCCTCCCACATAAAAAGCCATACAAAACAATATAATAAGAAACATTTAAGAAAAACTGTCCAATGTTGATAATAATTAAAGAAATTATAATTAAAAACAGTAACAAGTTACCCTTTAATAACAATTAACTGTACCCAAAACTACCGGCTGCAGAAATCAGTGTTGAAAGAGCTGGGAGAGGCAGCCTCTCTCGTGTGTTGCAGGTGCCATTGTAAATTAGAATGACCCTTTGGGCAATTTAGTAATAAATATTAAGAGCCATAAAGCTGTTCATACCCTTTGACCCACTAATCCCACTCCTGGGAATTTATCCTAAGCATATAATTCAGACATAGGAAAAAAAGCTATATATACAAAGATGTTCTTGCTCCTATTATTTATAATAGAAACTGGAAATAACCTTAATGTCTAGCAGTAAAGCACTGGGTAGTACATTATGGAATAGCAATTTGATGGAATATATGACACAGATACTACAAACAAATATACTGCAAAATGTAAAAATGTTTGCAAAAAGCCTCAGGGATAAAAATAAAAAACAAAGCTTACAATGATCAAAGGTAAAAGCTGGAAGTTAGATAAACGAAATTGTACTGAGAGTAGGATTATGGGCAAAAGGAAAGTTTCTTTTTCTTTAAATTTCCTTCGATATTTGTAGGAATAGTTTTCAAAAATCATCCTTACAGTGTTCCTCTTTCATTCCTTCCTACAGTATTAAGATTTTTTTAAAAAACTGACTTGAATTCTTTAAATGAGAGGCAAGATGGGTACTGAAATTAGCTACAGGGTTCCAGGGAGGTCTATGTAAATTTCATCAACTAACATAAAAAGGGACTTCGAATACACTTGCTTCACTCTCTCTGAAGTAATCGGAATGGTTGGTGAGTCCAGGGAAGCAAGAGATGTGGTAGAAGGACACCCTAATGAAGAGTTCACAGGAAGATACGGCGGATTTTCATTTAAAAAAGGAGTAGATACAAGGCAGAGATGTCACCTGGAGGATGCAGAGAGAGAGGGGAAATCTGGGAGTTCTAAGAGGACAGAGGGCTGATGCTGGAGCAAACAGGCCCCATCTTCTGGGGTGACAGAATGGCTCTGGGAAGGATTTGGGGGTGCTGAAGCTTCTGCCGACAAGTCTCACCTTTCAGCAACTGAAGCTTCTGCCGACAAGTCTCACCTTTCAGCAACTGAAGCTTCAAGAAGCGCTCGTGCTCTTGCACTAAGTGAATGCTGTGCCCGCGCATTTGCTTTCATCCTTGAGCGTTCCTTACGGAAGCATCTTCAACAGGGGTTGACTTGTTCAGATTAGAGAAAAAAGGACACCAAGGATGGCAGGCAGTGCATGCCTTGGCCCTCCTGCCCTACAAGGGGTGCCAACTTGGAATCCCAACTCAGGGGACTGCCCCTGGAGCACAACCCACCTGTCCTCCTATGAGACACCCATCATGAGGCACAATCTCTAAATCCCACATTTGAGTGGTAAGTGGTGTTATTTCTGACTGCCAACTTCAAAGTGCCTTCAAATATTGTCTCCTATAGAGCCTAGCACAGGATAAACACTCAAAATCTAGCTACTACTATGTTATTACTGGTATTCCTGCCCCCCACCAGACTGTGAGCTTCTTGAGAGTAAAGACCTTGGTCATCTTTCTACTCTAACGAATGAATGAATTATGACTCCATCCATCCATCTCTCAACAATCTATCCCTTAGACTCCAGGGGCAAAATTGTCTAGAACAGACTCTTGGAGGGCCTGATGAACCAGCGTGGAGGTAGTCCCAAAAGCACCTCCAAAATCAGGGGCCACTCCAAAATCCAGGGTATGATGCAGCTGGCATGCAACCTTTGCTCTTTTCCATACATTAAAGTTTGTAAATTTGACCTTGAAGAGCTTTGTGTCTTCATGAAGATGCATTTAGGTCTAGCTGTCACCAGGTGGTGGTAAATGACCCAAGCGCCCAGGCTCAAATCAGGGCATTAAGAAATGAGAAATTAGAAACGCTTATTTTCCAGACCTCATCCATTTTACTTAACAGGAACATAATCTTGTCACAACAGTTAAATTTCAACATCAAATAGTGGACCCCCTTACAGAACAAAGGAAGAAACCCGTCTTGGTAAAATCTGGAACCTCTTAACTAATATTAATAGAATTTTTTTCTTAGTTTTGTCTCGATAAGCATGTTTCTTTGTAATTCAACTGAATATGTGAATTGTAGCCTAATGCTCATGCAGGATGCTAGATCTCTTAAGGCTACAGCCAGTTTGGTATTTACAGTGGTATGGGGTGGGGGCGTGGAGGTGTATCCTGAAGTTAATGGCTTTTCTTCATATTAACCACCATGGAGTTAGCTCCCTAGGTGATTTGAGCTAAGCAGTCCCTCTCAGGCCACGGCCACACAATGGACTCACTTAAGGGGAGCTTTTACAAAATACTGACTTCTAGGCCTACCCCCCAGAGATCCTGAATATATCACTCTCCTCCTTAAAAACCCTCCCAAGCTTCTGACATTTAAACTCCCCAGCATGGACATGAGGCCCTCCTCCTATGGTCCCACTATCTCCCCACTGTCATTTCAGGCCTGTCCTGTCCCAGATGAACCCTACATTTAAACCACTCTATCCTCTCAGCACTCCACAGACATATAGTGGTTCTTCATGTCTCCCTTTTCTGTTCTACCTCAGCCCTTCGAACAAACCCCCGTTAAGGCCCCTGACCACCCCGACCTTCCTTTGTTCACATCTTTCTCTTGCACTAGACAGACAGCACATCCACAGGGGCACGTATCTACTCTATCAATGATCTTATATAAAAGAACTGTTCTCTTAGAAGATGTAATCGCCCTTGTCAATCCGCACATTTTTATAACCTACTTTTGGGGGGAGAAATGCTATAGTGACAGGACTCCTGATTTCTTTCGAAAAGAGCTTGTATGTCAACCAGAACAAAGTGAAACTCTACCAAATTTTAGGAAGGGCCTGTTATGGATTTGAAGCAACCCTAGAAGTTACAAGGCTTCTCAGCTTCCTGAAACTTCTTTCCCGTTAGTGACAGACATATAGGTCACAGGTCATTTCAGGTCACTATCAGAGAAGATACAGCTCTATGATTAGAATTATGTGACTAGTACCCGATTGTGTGAAGCTCACAAAACATAACTCACAATTGAGGTTGAGGATGTGAACAGAAAGTAATGAAAGTAAGAAATGCAGCTCACCTAAGTATTAAATACTAGACGGCACTTGATAGGTTTTTTTTTTTAAGAAACTGTGCTTTAGGGTGTCGTGTGTTACCAGCTGGCAAATGATAATATGCATGTCTCTGGAAAATGCCTTACATAAAACCATAAACACACCGAAATGGAGCACAATACTAGAAAGTATGTTAAAAACGGATGATCACGTCGAATCACATTAAAATCCGGCAAGGTAAAGGGAATTAGATTTTTTCGATGCAGACTAAGTCTATGATATAATTGTTTATTTTCTTTGAAATTTGTTTAATTTTGTTTTCATTCAAAGTTTAGAAATAACCAATTAAGGCCCACAGGCACATTTATTCAGAATCAGGGTATGAGGGCTGTGTGTGTGTGTGTATGTGTGTGTGCACATGCGTGTGTTTAGTGAAACTTGACCACACGTTAATAAAGCTCCCAACCTCTATCACCAACACTTCTGATCTGCTACTCTTGCCCACAGACGCTCATTTCAAAAGGCTTTCTGCTTTAAACCACGTTTATGAAGAAATAATTCATTTTTCCACTGAAAAATGTATCAAAGATGAATAACTGCCAATTAAAACTTCTAATCAAAAATGAGATAACCAGGGTTATGAATTCTAGATAAAAGTAAAGGAATAGGATTCTTTATTATGAGTCCTTGTTGACTTCTCAGGGGAAATTTATGCTGTTAGAGTATCTGAAAAGCTCACAAGAAAAACTGAAGATTCCCATTATTGTTTTCAGCCCCCGTAGAGGACCAGTGAATCCGTGAAATGACCAGAGCAGGCATAGAACAGGACAGCCAAGAACTTTCTAGAACTCACTCAGGCATGTAGTCACCTTCTTTTGCCTCCTCTTGTCCTGACAGGGCCTTTTTTTGCCACCCAAACTCTTGTTTCCCTCTGTGATCTAGAAAATAATTGTCCTCATTTCCCTTAACAAAATCAGCATCATGCTCCATCTTCACATACCCCATCACGAGAAATGAGAATAATGGATACTCTCCACTCTTCCTCTGAAAAGGTTTTTCATGTTTGCGACAGCCACTCTTAATTCTATCTTCTGAGATACAAGATTTCTGATCTTGTAACACTGTAATTTCATAGTTACTGTATTTTTAAAGTGCATTCTCCTTGATAAAGACCACCGCAGTAAGAATTTTAAAAATAATAAAGTTACCCTCTTTTCCTAAAAAATAATAAAGCACAGGGAGATATGACAAGATCAGAATCTGCCCTGCACTAATGCAACATAAAAGAACAGTTTAAAAAGGCAAGGAAAATGGTACATTATCTCATTCTGGGGGCAGTGAAGGGAATGAATTAAGGCCACAACAAAACGAAACTGAAAAATTGCTAAATGAAGCTCTGAGTGGGGAAAATGAAAAATCAATGAAGGAACGGAGGGGAAAAGGTACATTTTTCATCTTCATGATGCTTGATTGGGTTTGTAGAAATTCATTTTCAATTAATGTGTCTTGTGGCATTCCGCCAGGCTAGATATGAACAGGGCACATATTTTAATCAATTTTTTCTATTAAGTTTGAAGTAATATATAATAATAGAACGATACCATTCAAAAGGATCAGTTGAAACTGGCTTCTGAGGTAAAATAATCTAATTTGGTTTGATTTCTATGTTCTATTAAAGATAACCCAACTTCTCTTTAAGGAGAAGAACGACGCCTGCTTCTCCTGGGTGCCTAACACGACGGGGCCTATAAACATCAGGGAAGGATGAACAAACTGGCTTTCTGATCTGAGGGGGAATAACATACCACTGGGAAGGAAGATAGAGGGGTGTCCTGGGGACAGGGCTGTTGCTGGGTTTGCTCATTATCCTCAGAAACAACCCTAGGAGCGGTCATCCCCACAGAGGAGGAAACAGAGCTTCCTAGAGTTTTAGCATCCGTCATTCCCTCAGCGATCACCTAGGATCACCTCTGCGTCAGGCCCAGTGTTAGGCGCTGGGTGCACAGCAGGCAGCCAGGAAGACCTGATCTCCACCTTCACAGACCACACGGACCACTGAGGAAGGCGGGCAGTAAGCAGAGAAACACCCCAGAAAGTGCGATAAAGGGAGAGGCACAGAGATGGTTTGTACCCCGGAGGCAGGATGCACCTGCCGACTGCCGATGGGGTGAGGGAAGGAAGGGGTCAGACCTGGGGCTGAAGAGGGTGACCGGCTCATCCCAGCTTGCCCAGGGCTGCCCAGGCTTTAGCACTGGGATCTCATGTGCCGGGAGCTTTCTCCGTGGCAGGCAAACCAGGACAGCTGGTCACCTGAGAGCTGGATGCCGGCAGGGCTGAGATCTAAATCTACATCTCCCTGATGTCGAGGCCCCAGCTCTTTCTCTCGCCACACTGATGTTCAGGGGTGTGCTTCCACCCTCCCTGTGGTGACGGCCTATCACTGCAATGGGGCCGGGAATTAGGCAAGGCTGGGAGGAACGTTGGCTGGGATCTTCCTTTACAGAGCATCTGCGGCGGCCCGAAGTCTTGAGGCTGTTCTTTTTCCCTCTGACTTTAGAGGAGGAAAGTGGAAAGTAGAAGCGGGGAAGAGGGCACTCGATGTGTCCCTAGCCCCATGCTTTCCTTGATAGCTGCAGTATCAGGGACAAAAGACCCTCCGCTGAACAGGAACGTCCAGGGAAAGAACGGTTTCAGACGAACGTAAGATGAGGCACATGACAGCCCGAGCTCCACAGGTGGGACAGAGCTGGTGCCTAAACAGTGGTGGTTTTTAAAATGTTCCTAAGTTCAAGTGTCCTGGAGTGTGGCCCCTCACCCGCACTGGCCAGGCTTCTCCTGGGAGCCTCCAAGCTGCCCTTCTGGCTTCTCTCCCCTCCTATTCACCTAGCTCCCTCCTGCCTGAGGCATCACTCTGGGGTCAGATCTGACCAGGCAGAGGGCCCCACTGAGGAATCTGGAGGAGGGTAACACCAGACATTGTCTCAGCTTGGTGCCGAGGGGGTGCGAACCCACAACTGGTCTCCACCTCATTTCCAGGCTCTCCATTATCTCTCCCCAGTCGGATCCAGTCAAACTAGACTGGTAGCTCTCCGAACTCACCCTAAACTTTCTGGTCTCCATGTCTTTGGTTTCTGTTGGTTTGTTGTTGTTATTCTATATGTTGTCTGGCATGTCCTTTTCCACCCATTCAATCCCTGCCTAGAAAAATCCAACCCAACCTGCAAGACGTGATCATATATCACCTCCTCCCCAAGGCCTCTGCACCCACATCAGCATTAGTCAACGCTTAGGGACTCTGCGCCAAACCCCTAGCCTGTGTTACATCAGTCAAGCCTTAAAACAGCCTCTGAAGCAGGTATGGTTAGGATCGTCCTCATTTGGTTGATAAGGAAACTGAATGTTGGAGAAGAAGTAACTTGCTCAAGATATAAAGTCTAGTCAAGAGAGGAGCAGATGCAAAGCCAGATTCAATTTACTCAAAGCCTATGAACTTAATCACTCCTGTCCCCACCGGCTTCTCTGTCCCCAGCAAGCAGTTCATACCCCTGCTTAATACCTGTCATAGTTGGCCTTGAGTTCTAACAAGTTTTAGTATCAACCAGAAAGTCCTTTAAGGGCAAGAACTCACGTCCATGTTTGCATTTGGTTCATGAAAGGCGCTTATTAAATGTGTTTTGATGGACCCATCAGGGCAGGAGAACAGGAGTATTTACAGACAGCAGCACAAGGGAAGCGACTCCAGCTTGATAAAGGGGCCATGCAAAACTCAGTGGGGCAAGGATGGAATGTTCGGTAAACGCTGTTAGAGAAACAAGCTTTTCGTGAGAAAAAAAAGAAAACCCACAAAATGAAAAATGCAGCCCTATTCACACTATAAACACAAAAATAAATTCCACATGGATTATTCTTTATTTGTTCAGCAAATATTTATTGAGCACCTACTATATGCCAGTGACTGTTCCAGATGTTAGGAGCATAGCCAAGAGCAAAACAGAGAAAAGCCACTGCCCTCGTGGAGCTTACATTCTAGTGGGGGCAAACAGACAACAAATAAGTATGCAAAACAGAGAAGTGTAGTATATACTAGGACGTAAGTGCTATGGAGAAAAAGAGTGAGAGAAGATAAAGGGTAGGAGTGTGGTGGGGGTTGTAACTAAAGCCATAAAGATGAAAAGCTATCACAAAAATATCCTGATGGCAAACAAACAAGACACACAACACAGCACCAAAGGATTGACAAGTTTATACCAAAATGTAAAACACACGTGCATTATACAAGATACCATAAACAAACAAACAAACAGTGGCTGGGAGAAGGTAACAGCATACAAACACTTTGTGACAAATGATCAGTATCGGTAGTACCCAGAGTTCTGACAAATCAGCAGCTGTCCACACGGGAAAGTGGACAAAAGAGAAGAGCGGCCAATTCACGAAGGCGGAAGCCTGCATGGTCAACACGCTGATGAAAAGATGCTCAGCGGCACCCATAGCGATGAGCAGTAACTGGGCTGGAGCAAATCAGAGTCAAAGAGCTACTATTTCACAACTGGCTAAAATTATAGTCCAGCGGCGCCAAGAGGTGGTGAGGATGTGGGGAAACCCACCCTCCCGGTGGGTGGAACTGGGCGCACCCCCCGGAGACCAACTGGGCAGTATCTAGCAGAGGGGAGACTGCGCAACCCAAGGCCCCAGCAGCTCCTCCTCCAGCCACGTTCCCTAACTACAGAAGCAAAGAGACTGTTTGGCATTGTTTGCAAAGGAATACAAATTTGGAAACAAGCTAAATATCTATCAGTAGGACACATGATGATACATTAATACAATGAAATATTAGAGATCCATTAAAATAAATAATGTAGCTCTTTGTGACATCAAAAACAAAATTGGGGAAAAGAGTAAGTTGAATACTATATACAATAATATCTACTTACTTACATGTTATAAAGATGAACATACATTTTTAAACACGTACATTAGGCTAAATACTGATAATAGATACATATGTATGTAGTAAAAGCATCAAAACATGGCCTGGATGGAGACCAAAAGGCTTCTGAAGAGGGAGAGAGTGGAGAAGAAGGAAAAAGATCAGAGGAATAGAAAGAACCTCTTCTTGCTACTGTTTTCTTTTACTTGGAAAAAATCTGAAATATGCCAAAATGTTAACATTTTGTCACTTCTAGAGGAGAGTACCTGGGTCTTTGTTTTTACCATTCTCTGTAATCTTCCATATTAAAATTTTTTTTTCCAATTAAAAAATACACAAAATTGGGGCGCCTGGGTGGCTCAGTCGGTTAAGCGACTGCCTTCGGCTCATGTCATGATCCTGGAGTCCCGGGATCGAGTCCCACATCGGGCTCCCTGCTCGGCAGGGAGTCTGCTTCTCCCTCTGACCCTCCTCCCTCTCATGCTCTCTGTCTCTCATTCTCTGTCTCGCAAATAAATAAATAAATAAAATCTTTAAAAACAAAAACAAACAAACAAAAAATACACAAAATTAGAAGCAAAGAATGAACACTGGCTTTGGAGCCAAAGATCTTGTGGCCCCAGCACCATCATCATTTGCTGAGAGACTGCCAGCTACTTATTTAAGACGCTAAGCTTCAGTTTCCTGTGCCAAAAAAAAAATTGTATAAATCATATGCCCCATAAGAGGATGAATGTGGGAATGTTGGGTCTAGACGCATGGCCGAGAAGCATGAGAAACATTCAGTAGCTGATAGTTACTTGGAACATGAGTGGAGTCTCACAAACTCTATGGGTAGAACGTGGGCACGCAGGTCTCTGAGAAATATTTTACAGCCAACTACAAACAATCTCAACGAAGAAGAAAGTGAATTCAGTGACATTTACAAAGAAAAGACCTGCTCCCTCAAAAGGACAGTTTGTATCCTGAATATATTAATCAGCAGGTATCATAAAATAAACCTTCAATATTTCCATAACGTATAGGGGGGAAAAAAGGTTTGCACACACAGTGAGCTTTCTGATCCCTTCTAAAAACCTCACATTTTAGTGAATAATATGTTGAACATGAGAATTTGAAACTGTAACATTTTTATTTACCGTATATAAATTCTGCCTCAAACTTCTGAGTAACGCCTCCTTTGGGTGGGGATGTGCGAGGCCAAGGGACAAAATGAAGCCTTAAGAATCCAAAGCCTCCTTCGCCATCCACTGCCTACTTGCTAACGTGGGGTAGAAGCATCTGAATGAAAGACCGAAGACAAATACTGACAGGCAACCATTTACCCGCCCACTCTGCCATGGAGAAGTGGGACTGGAGAACCACCCAACACCTGAGTGACACCCCGCCCCTTAATGCAGCCACTCCATCAGCCCAGTCTACTAGCTTATTAGGCTAACCAACCCACTGATTATTACTGCTACTGGGGCTACTACCACTACTAGTCTTCAGTTACGCTGTTAAGTTTGGGTGACCTACCAGCCCCTGTGGCTTGTCTCAAGAAGATCTCTATAAAAATAAAGCAGGCGGGGCGCCTGGGTGGCTCAGTCAGTCATTAAGCGTCTGCCTTCGGCTCAGGTCATGATCCCAGAGTCCTGGGATCGAGTCCCGCATCGGGCTCCCTGCTCTGCGGGAAGCCTGCTTCTCCCTCTCCCCTCCCCCTGCTTGTGTTCCCTCTCTCACTCTGTCTCTCTCTGTCAAATAAATAAATAAAATCTTTAAAAATAAAAAGAATAAAGCAGGCATGGACTGTATTTCACTTCAATATATTTCGATCAAATATATTTCTCTTTTCCTCAGACAGACTTCTCCTTTCCATGAAGTTAGCTGAACTGCCAATTCGGGCAGAATGCCCATGGAGATAAAAAGCAAACCGAACCCTGCTTCAACAAAGAGAATGCTACGTTGACTAGTGCTTTTGATCTCCATTCCAAGAGGACATCCTCAGGGCCACCTCCCACATGCAAATATAACCAAACTACACGGACACTTGACGGCTTCCGCATTATGTGGGGTGTGATCTGGTGGGGAGCACTTCCTTCCTGGAGCACTCAAGTTCTTCAAGCCCGAGTCCCAGCCTTAGCAGGTGTCCTTGGCAGCTTTCCAGAAGTGCAGCTTCCTTTTCCAAGATCTTAGAACCAGCCTCCACCTGCTTTCCTGAATTATTTTTTAGTATTATTTTTCATCGCAGCTCTTTGTTCGATGTCTAGGAACCCAAGTTTCTAAAAATATCCTTTGAGTTCTCTTGACTCTGCAGCATGAGGCTGGACAAGGCGAGGTGACAGTGTGTGGTATTTTCACAAATGAGAGCCCTACGTGGTCAAATTCTCCTTTCCACACCATGTCCTTCCTGTTTTGTTCATCGGCTCATCACAGAGGGACATGCCCCCTCTTCCCAGCAGAGTACGAGTATTCTTCTAATCACGAACAATAAAAGCAATTGCTTCCAACCCAGGCTACCATTTTATCATCTTCCAAAGAACCGGAGACTAAATCTGGAGAAGAGCTCGTGTGACATGATCTGGAAACAGGTGAATTGAGTGGATTAGGGCTGTGGGCTCAGTGCTATGGCTCCGTTTCCCTACCCCCAGTTGGCTAAATTATCAGTGACGGAAGGGACTCTCAATCACCAAACACAGGGCATTTGGCAGAAGTGTACTTTTGTGTACCTTTCAGCACACCACACAGTAGTTTTAAAATGACTTGAGTGCTAACAAACAGCTGATCCATTTAAAATGGAAGATTCTTGGGATGGAGAAAATGTAAAAATGTTTTAATTGCCTTGTGTGTAAATAAGAATTCTACTCAAGGGACTGGTGGCTGAGATGGAACACAGCACGGAGCATAGAAGAGAAGAGAGAGTCATACCCAAAGATTCCATCTGGCTCATAAGACTCCCGAAGGAGAGAAGGGCAGCTCTGTGTATCTGTCAAGAAAGCAACTCAGCTACTTTTGCTTTTGGTTCATTTAACTTGACTTTGGGTATACACAGCAGGAACCCATCCACCCGTAATAATAATAATAATAGCAGCTTGTGTTTATTGGGTATTTCCTATGTTCCGATGAATAGAAGTATTTTATGTACATCCTCTCATTTAACTCTTACCAAAAAATCCTCTTGGATAGATACTGTTATTAAGCCCATCTTACAAACAAGAAAACTGACTTTTTGAAGCTTCCACAGCTAGTTAACGCAGGTCTGATTCTCAAGGCCTTGCTCATGTCCATCGTCTCTGCCACCTCCCATCATGTACGTACCCGTTGAGGTCTCTAGTTGCACTTCTCCTAGGTCTCTAACTGCAGGGGGGTGCCTGCGAATTCAGGGCTGAGGGGATAAGTTCTAGGACTTAAGAAAAGAGAAGGGAAGCCCTGCTTTGCTGACTGGCTCAAGAAGAGCCAGAAACCAGAAACCCAAACCTCAACTCTAAGAAGAGTTACTCCTCATCTGTTCTCTCCAGTCCAGGTTGTTTCCCCCAAAAAAACTGTTGCATTATGACAACTGCTCCCCCAAAAAAACAAAACAAAAAAAAACCAAGGGATGATCATTAAATACTTCCAAATTCATTTCTTAGGAATTGCAGAACTGTCCCGCTTTGTTTTACACTTAAGAAGCGGCCACTGTGAATACTATTATTTCAACAAGGTCCTGTGTTCTCTTTCTAAAGAGGTACAGTGGGACCAAGTGTAAGGTCTTGTGGGTAGACAGAAGGAATTTAAACCAGGGTGAGGCCAGACACCCACACCCACAAGCAACAGAGGGAAGGAGATCCACGAGAACCACTGCTGGTCTCTTCATTAGTGGCAGGTTCTCAGCTTCCAAGGACAGCAGGCGGACTGGATACTGTCCCGTGAAGTCTAGTATCTATTTAACAAGTATGCCTCATCTACCACCTTGGTGACATGTTCTCTCTAGATGCATCTGGGGAGCATCTGGGAAGTTTATCTGGATACCACCAGGCCAGTATGGCATTAAGAGTGAGCTGTCAAAGCACCCTCTCCCGATGGGGCTGGCAAGAAATGCAAGATCCCCTGACCAGACCAGATGGTCACACGTTGGGACCAGCTCTCCCACGTCCATGCTCATGGTCCTTGCTCAGTGGTCCCCCTGGTTCTTTTCCCTGGAGCCGTTCTCACTCCAGTCCAAATTCCCACCTCAGGGACAGCAGCTTGTGAGGGAGGCTGGCTGAACATATGAACACACGGAAACCCCACGTGGAGACCCAAGCCAGCTAGAACTTCAGAGCACGGTTCTGCATCCTGGCTGCATCCTGGAATCTTGTGCAGCTTAAAAAAAAAAAAAAAAAAAAAAAAGCCAAAACCGCTGCCCTGCCCAGCGCCTCCCTCGCACTGCCATCTGCCAGGTCTGGCATGTTTTAGAGCTCCCCAAGTGATTCTGCCGCGCAGCCTGCGAGGAGAAGCACTATCCCGAAAATCAGTTCCTTCCACCTTTGCACTCATTAAACATCTAAATCACAGAGGGGGACAAGCGGGAGCGGAACGGCTTCCTGCAAAAGAAAAGTCTAAAGCCAGAACAGTCTCTTCTGCCACTGAAAGGACACGCGGCGGGACACACCCTGCCGGAAGAACCACTTCGCCCACCGAGACCGCGATGCGAAGCGAGAAGGAGATGGCAAACCAAAGGGATTCCTGCGGTTGAAGAGGGAGAAGGAGCTCCCTATGAAATTACTACGTAGTCAGCTGAATAATAGCACTGCCTCTTGGCAAAAATGTAAGATTCCCCCGCTTTTCGAGAGCAAATAAGAATTTGTTTTTGCCTCCAGGTAATTTCCCCCTTGGCAGGAAAGCTGCTCTGGCTGGCAGGGGACAGGCCGGGGTAAAGAGCCGGAGAAGAGGCGTGAATGAGCGTCCAGGGGGCTCCCCTCCGGCGCCAGGCTCCGCCCAGCCTTTGGCACCTCCCCCATCTCCGGGTTCCGCGAAAGGCAAGCTGAAGAATGCAGCCGGACTCAAGACAGAGGAACCCCAATCCCAACAAGACTTTTCAACAGAAGAAAGAAGTCCATGCGCAAGAATGACTCTGGAAGGCAGGTCACCCCAGATGGTAAGATCTAGGAGAGCAGGACCACACCTGCTCCAGGCACAGAGAAAGTGCTGGTGCTTACCTGGTGAACCCACAGACCAGTGAATTTCCCCACAGTCCTTCTATATTTTCTGGCAAACCCTTAAAAGTCTAAAAGGGTCATATATGGGCTCATTTCGTTTTTATTTTTTTTTTGTCAGAGCCACAACCAGTTAGAATTAGTGATGGGAGGGAGGTAACCAATCCCTGACATCCACCACAAAAGGAGATGTAATTTGCTAGAAAGATCTAGCTGGGTGCGGGTATCTGGTCCCACATGTCACACGAGACACTGTGCATCGAGCTTGACCCCATAAGACATATACCAATGCTTCATCCAGAAGGGCCCATCCTGCCCATCCCACACGCACAAGGCCTCACTGACATACGCCATCCCACACGGTGAAAACCACGTCTATCCAGCCAAAGACTGCAAAACCGAGGCCGGTTGGTCCTTAGTCATTATATTATTATTGTTGTTGTTATTAAAAAATTATCTTACTAAAGGTGAAGGAAATACATGGCTTAACATTTAAGGATTTCAAGAATCTCAGAACACCATTTTCAATTTTGAGCTGAAAAAAGCAGCCCATTGTTTCAGTAAACTAAGTCTCTTCATAGACATTATGGCTAAAATGACGCCAGGAGTGGGTGCAGACTGGACCCCCACCCTCGGGAAAGGTGAAGCCAACACACGGACAAGCTTTCCGGCTTCATGTGAGGGAAGCAAAACTGTCCCTAACATCTGCTACACATAAAGTCTGCCTCTGTTTCTAAGTCAAGTTTGTCTCAGTATCTGGATAGCTGGAGTTCACAGATAAAAATAAACTACTAAAGTCAGAGGTTATGAATTTGCTAATCGTGCTGCTTATGCAAAGTAATGATAATGCTGAGATCGCATGGCCTAGTAAACAGTAAAGCATTCTTTATAGAAAGAGCTTCTAGCTCAAGCCCTGGATCATAAGGAATGCACCTGTGAGGAAGGGCTAAATACCTTCCCAGGGCAGCCAGTATTAGAAATGTTTTCTTTTTTATTTTTTTAAAGATTTTATTTATTTATTTGACAGAGAGAGACACAGCAAGAGAGGGAACACAAGCAGAGGGAGTGGGAGAGGGAGAAGCAGGCTTTCGGCCGAGCAGGGAGCCTGATGCAGGGCTCAGTCCCAGGACCCCGGGATCATGACCTGAGCCGAAGGCAGACGCTTAACAACTGAGCCACCCAGGCGCCCCGAGAAATGTTTTCTTTATGTGAAATGAAAAGCTGAAATTTGCTTCTTTGCAAGTTCCACCCAGGGCTTCTGGCCTGGCCTTGCATTATAATACTAAACAAGAACACATTCTGAGATGTGAATTCAGCTCTCAGGCCTCTCCTTGGCCATCTCTCCCCCAAGTCCTTCAGCCACTCCCTGAATCACTAGAGTTCTCAACTCCTTTCCAACCTGACTCTGCTCCGCTAAATGTGCTCATCTGTCGAGTCCCTTTGCCATGTTTCTAACTTAAAAAAAAAAAAATTATTCACATCAAGGGCTGCAGCAATTGAGATTTTAAACCATCCTTTAGTGGTGTAAGTTAACACGATATGCAGGGCAAACACACTAATTCTTACTACCCGATTTAGGTAGTGACTTAAATTTAGAATAACAAGTCTCTCTTCTTTCCAGTCCCCAGGCACTGTTGAAACCCAGCTGGCCCCTAGGTGGTGCTCACTCTGATGACGCCATCCTAAATTTCAGCCTGCAATTTCATTCTGATGCCTGTGTCTTCTAGACCACATCATCCGGACTTAGAGAAGCTTATTTGGGAGATATTAAGTCACAGGTAGAGAAGCAAGGCCCATGGACAGTGATCTTTATACGCTTCCCTATCTTCATATATCAATTTTCCCCTGCTCCCTTCAAATTGGTATGTCCGTTATATTCCACAAGTTAGAAAACAGAAGAATCCTAAACCACTTGAAAGTGTCTTTTGGAGAAGGATCTCTGATCGGGGTACCAATCTTTTTTTTTTTTTTTTTAAAGATTTTATTTATTTATTTGACAGAGACAGGAAACACAAGCAGGGGGAGTGGGAGAGGGAGAAGCAGGCTTCCTGCCAAGCAGGGAGCCCGATGAGGGGCTCGATCCCAGGACCCTGGGATCATGACCTGAGCCGAAGGCAGACGCTTAACTACTGAGCCACCCAGGCGCCCCCAGGGTACCAATCTTAAACCCTGACAGATAATAACCGAAACAGAAGCCCACCGGTAGGAGGCTTTGTTCCCTGGTTCTCTAAGATAAAATCTAAGAACGATGCACACCACCTCCCTGTGGCGAGTTGGAAGAAATGCAGTGCTCCACAGTCAAAGAGCCTCATGGGGAAACAGGGACACCCTTGCCCCAGACTTCCTGTGTGTGAAATTCAGAAGCAGAAAAGCTATGATCTGACAGCCATAGTTCCCCGAGATACTAACTTAAGTGTGATGAAGCAATGCTTTTCCCGGGGAAACATGCTCCTGACACCTAGCTAGTGTTGATACCTGGGCAGGATCTACCCATCACGGTCGCACCTGCCTGGGTGTGCAGTCGGAGTGCAGAGGGGCTCCTCGTTCTTCTATTCTGCTCCCTGACACTCGCAGATGAGGCAACATAAGACTCACAGGAGTCGACACACTAGGACTGCATTTCTTGTTTAGGCAACAGATTTCACCTAATATATATGTTTATCCGACAAGAGAAAAAAAAGTATCCCTCCCCAACCTCACAATCCCCTGACCTTAACCTCACTCCACTAATATCGCCAACATTTTAGAGATTCATAGACATACTTTTAATCTTCCCTTTGACTGTTAACGTGTGTGATTTATTAGTAGACATGCTTTTAATTTCCATAATTCATTAATAGGTAACTTCTCAGAGTAGTGCTTAATATAAGGAAAATGTTTTTTTCTCAGTTTTTCCACTGCCAACCAAATGTTTAATTAAATTAAAGCCCTTTCGATGCCAGATAGAGAATTAGACCGTAGGGAATTTATAACCCTGTTAGGACTAACTGTTCCTTTTTTCCTATCCGATTTATTAATAGCGAGAAAGATACAATAATATGTGATCTGCTATACCACAGCTTGGGCTTTCTTCTACCGATCTCCACGAGAAAGAGAGACAGATTAGAGTAACACAGTTAAAAGATTTTTTTTCCTCTGGCAGAAATATAAATGTTCAACTTACCTATTGTTTCCATTTAGAAAAACAGACAAGTAAGCTATGTCCAGCATACAGTAAACATATAACTTGGTCTGACATCCCACAGACAGACGGAGAGAGAAGGGATGGAGAAGAGAATGAGGGAAGAAGGAAGAGGAGGAGGGGGGAGACAGGGAGCAGGGGAAAAAAAGACACCTGTCCACCGAAGAAGAAAAGATGGAGTGACCCCTGGGAGACAGCCAGCCAGGTGCAAGGAAGTGCAGAGACCTGAGCTAAAGGAAACTTTCCTTGTCACACCCGCGGGTCCCCTGAGCTGTAGGCACCCCCTTGGGGAGTCGCTGCCCTCTGAAAGCCATGAGCTAAGGAACTGGGCTTCCCAGGCTTCTTAACTGTAACCCTTTGATCTGATTAGAGGGATAATCACCAGTACCCGGGGGGGCCATATGAGGAAATTTCCCTCTGGGTCATGAAGACAGTGGCCTGAGTACATTCACTCGTGAGCCACGGAAAACTGAGCTGAGAGTCAGAGCTGGCTCTCGGGCTGACATGCCCCCACAACAGGCAGCCATCCTGGCCCGTGACCCTTCACAGGGGCTTACCTCCTCAACCATCTGCTTGACTTTCTTCTGCTGGCAATGCACCATGTCGTCGAGGTGCCGGATCCGTTCCCGGAGGCTGGCAGATGCCTCCTCCAGCTGCTGATACCTAACACAAAGAGCAGAGCGGGCCACAGGGTCCTCAACCAGAGCAGCACCACCAGCACCGAGGGTCCTGGCTGAAGGGAGCACTGCCCAGAACACGAAAGGCAACTCCACCACGCGTTCCTCCTGCTCCGTGAGTCTCCCGGGGGATTCCCTACCGTCAACCACCCCACCACAGGAGGAACACGGGACTCCTACCCGAGCTCCCACTTGCAAGGTTTACCTTGTGTAAGGACAGCAACACTACTTTCCGGGGACTGAACCAGAATTTTGGGGGCACCGCTTACAGAATGGGGGGCTCTCTGTTCTGGAGTTAATACAATATTATAGACTATATGTTCTACAAGTCAAATGCCTTGAATTGGAAAACGGAGAAGGAGAGGAGTCTAGTACCACAACACAATATCTGAAATCAAGGGGCCGAGTCCTGGGAAGTCTGGAACTGTGGCTGCCTACACACCATTTATTTTGGGAAACTGGGAAACACACTGAAAGAACTTCTCTGCATCAAAACAGATGGGGCCGCTTCCTAAGACGCTTCATAGTTCTGTCTTAAAACAGCACAAACTATCCTCTGACTTTGCTCAGTTCAGTGAAACCAAAGGAACCAGCAGACGGACTCTTCAGTGCTTTGGGGCCACTGGAATGGAGCCGTGTACAGAGGGTCTGGTGGTCGGCTTACCCCTCCCCTCCCTGCCAGGCTACGTTAAAGTCTACAGAAGACCGCCAAGTCCGAAGTTGCAGAGAGGAAGGAAAATAGACATTTTTCAGCACAAACCACGTGGCAGGCAGCACGCCCCCCAGCTCCCTCACAGTTAGTGACCCAGTGAGACGGGCACTGCCCTCCTCACCGTAACCCCCTCCCCCTTTAAGAATAATTCTCCGTTCACAGATAAGCAAGGAATCTCAGCAAGGTCAAGCAACTGGCTCAGATTGCTCGAATCATCCCACACTTGTTTTCCTTCACCAGAGGGCCGTGCATGGCCTCTCTGCCTTCCGATTTCTAGTGGAGACCACGTACTGCTCCATCATTTTCGATGCAGGGCTTTATATGCCCATAGCCAGGGCACAAGGCCAGGTTTCAGTAAACAATGTTTGGAAACAAAAAAAGGCATTTTAAAATTAGTTTCCATTGCATAAGTGTTAGTCACAGCTAATGAGGCTTCTCATCAACAAGGTGCATCCTGTGAAGTTGAAGGTTGTGGAGAACATTTATAGACTGAACTTTTGCACCCGAGACAGCCTGTGCTGTCTCTCCGCAGTAACAACCAGCCACGGGCTGCAAGACGTGGCTGTGAGCTCCTCAAGAAACCGGGCCCGTAGCAGAAGCTCTCAGCCCGCAGTGGAAGCTCTGCAGACTTTTACACGTAGGAGTGTGCAATAGTGTGACCAAATGAAGGAAACTGCAAGGCCCTGGCCAGCCCACAAAAACACAGCACGTCTGCCGTCCACGTCCATTATAAGCTGAAGGGCATTCGTCTTACCTTTCCTTGTCAGAATCCGTTATCTCCCCTGACATTTCTGTTTCATGGGCCAGGAGCTGGAGTTGCAGCTGATGACGTTCCTAAAACAGACCCGATATTCGAAGCAGTGGGTCCCACGACGGACAGAGAATGCATATCGAGCAATTCCAGCACTAGTGGGGTCAAGTCTATAGAACACCCAGTGGGGTCTACGCATCCACCCACCAGAGTCCAAACAAAGCTCAAAAATGCCACATCTCTTGGTGTACGTTTACAGATGTATTGATGAATTAGAGACAAATATCCTGGATAAAGCCATTCAGGGTTTCTTTTTAATGGGGCGCCTGGGTGGCTCAGTCCATTAGGTGTCCAACTCTTGGTTTTGGCTCAGGTCATGATCTCAGGGTCGTGAGATCGAACCCCATGTCAGGGCTGTGTGCTCAGCAGGGAGTCTGCTTGAGGACTCGCTCTCTGCCTCGGCCCCTCCCCCTGCGTGTGTGCGCACTCTCTCTCTCTCTCTAATAAAAATAAGTAAGTCTTTGATAAATAAGTATTCCATCCCCTTAGGTTCAGACATCTTGTGAGAATTTATAGTTCTAAAAAATGAAAATCCATACTCTTAAGTCAGTGGCCTATGATATTGCAAAATTCTTGATTATTTTCTGCATCTCTGGAATTTGGGTAATATCCTGTGTACTAACCTGGGTGGTGTTTACACAGATAGGTTCACTTGTAAAAATGTATTGTGACAGGATAATGGGTGCCCCCCCCCCACAATGATGTCCACACCCTAATGCCTGAGGCTTGTGAATATGCTGCCTTACCCAGAAAAAGGAACTTTGCAGAGGGGATTAAGTTAAGGGTCTTAAAAGGGGGGGAATGACCCTGGATTATCCAGCTGGGCCCTTACTGGCAGGAGGAAGAAGGGCTGGAGCCAGAGAGGGACAGAGCCTGGAAAAGGCCACACTGCTGGCTTTGAATCTGCCGGCTGGAATCCTGAGTCAAGGAATGCAGGCAGCCTCTAGAAGTTAGAAATGCTGAGCAAATGGACTCTCCTCTAGAGCTTCCAAAAGGAACCCAGCGCTGCCAACACCTTGATTTTAGCACTTCTGATCTCCAGGACTATAAGATAATAAACTGGGGTTGTTTTAAGCCACTAACAGTGGTGATTTATTATAGCAGCCATAGGAAACTAGCACATAAATCAAGCTGCGCATAAAGATATGTACCCTTTGCTGTATGTATGCAAATTTAAAAGTTTATCCAAAAGAGGTAATGTAAGAATATGGACTATTATTTCTTCGGACAAAGTGGAAAATGTTAATAAAAGCATAGCACCCAGGGGCACCTGGCTGGCTCAGTAGGTTAAGCGTCTGCCTTCGGCTCAGGTCATGATCCTAGGGTCCTGGGATCGAGCCCCACATCGGGCTCCTTGCTCAGCGGGGAGTCTGCTTCTCCCTCTCCCACTCCCCCTGCTTGTGTTTCCTCTCTCGCTGTGTCCCTCTGTCAAATAAATAAAATCTTCAAAAAAAAAAAAAAATGTAGCACCCATCATAACCAAAACTGCTCTAGAAATACGTTACAGATGTGGGTGTCGTAGATTTCCTTCAAATGAAATTTATCAAAGCCCGTTCACTATATTGGCAGGAGATTATTTTACATTAGGCCCTAAGTACTCCTGTGCATCATATCATTCTCAGAAATTCTCCCAACAAACTCTTACTGCCAAATTATTAAAAGCAAATCTTTGAAACTTTAACTCCCGTAACTTCTGAAGTTACAAGCCGTGGTATCCCAAGGAACAGACTGAAGAGATGGGGCAACAGTCTGCCCTCGCAGGAAGAGTATACATTATCATTGATGGATTTAGCATCGTCAAGGAAGACCAACTTTTAGTGGGAATCTGTTTTTGTTCTTAAATCTCTCCAGCAAAGACACAGCGTGGTTCGCTGCTGGCTGGAAGTCTACAACAGCCCTGAAATAATAGTGATGGACCTTTCAGAAACGAGCACCCCCATGGCAGACACCCAAAGAAAGCTGTCATAGAGCAGGGCAAGCAAGGCCTTACTTCCAGCACACTTTAAAAGTTCGATTTTTTTTTTTTCTAAACTGAAGTACAACAAATCCTAAAAGCACACTACACGATGATTTCTTACATTTGTATATGCCCGTGAAACCACCACCCAAGCAGACTATCACCTCTCCTGCAGCGGGGTCCCTGAGAGGTCACACTCCTTAAAAGATTTTTACTAATCAGAAAAAAAAAAAAAAAGGTGTTTTGAAAATCCCAAAATAGGCACAAGCAGGATAGGACACTGCCACAGTTCGTGCCTGGGGAAACGCTGTTCACGGAGGGTGGGAGAGACATCTCTGAAACAGGGATCTCTGAGGGAGAAGAAGCAGTCAACTGGAATACCTAATCCTAGCAAAATAAAGCAAGCCTGTCTCTCACCTAAATGGAAAAGAGGATTTAGAGAAAGGACAATCCATTTTCATTCACTACAGAAAAAGCCGATGGGACTTGGAGAATACTGTGTGTCCCATAAATGCTGGCAGGGAAGGCTGGCCTTCCTCCCTCCCCGGCCTCCCGCCTATCACCTCTCACACGGGCTCCGTGTGGAAATCAGTGGGGGAAAATCCACTTTCAGAATCCTAAGGGTACAAAGAAGATAAGCTAGAAAAAAAAAAAAGTCCAGCTAAAAAAAAAAGCTGATTCTGGGGGCAGACACATAGACAAGTCTGTAACAAAATAAAAATCAGAGCTCCACATTTTTGAGCCACGACTATATGCCAGGCACTGGGCTAGGCACTGTGTGTGGACTTTTCTCATTTACTGCTCACAGAGCCTTAAGCAGAATGATGACTATCAGCATGTTACAGAAGAGGAAATTCAGTTTGGAAGAGTCAAGTAACTGCCCACAACTAGAAAGAGAGGCAAGATTCAAACCCTAGGTCTATCTGATTCTAAAACCCGTATTTTGAGCCACCCCATGGGCAGGAAGTTGGCCTCCTACCCAAACCAGGCTGCCTGCTCCCTTTGTGCCTGAATATGGCAGGCGAATCTATCACCCACAGGGTGCATTCATGTGACCAGTATCCTCTGCGATTGCTGGGGAGAGGGAATGTGGGAGAAAGCTCACCTAAGTTCTAGAAAATGCCATCACTGCCCAATCTTTTCTACCACTGCCAGCCGATCCTGATGTTAGTCTTAAGCATGCTGCTTTACCCTCTTCTCTTCAATGAAAGACAGGATTCTGTTCTCCCAAGGAGGGAGGTGACACTGTGATGGACTCTTCACTTTGCTCAAGTCCCTCCCAAACAAGACATTACCTCAAGTGGAAGCCCCCCCAAGCCCCGAAGCTCCAGAGCACGAAGTTTCATGCCATCCCCACCCTGGTTACACCTCGCCTCATCAGGGGACCGTGGGGGGGTCTTCGCTGCAGACACCAGAGGTGAGGAGACAGACCTCTCTCAGAATCACTGGAAGCCCCCGTGTTGACCTTGCGCACAGTCATTCCCCCGGCTCATCACCAACAAGGGGGTTGCTCAGCATGCGTTACCGGGGGCTCTGATGTCACAGTCTTGGCAGGTTGCCACCGCCCTGTAGACCCACATGCTGCTGAGAGCCGTTCTCCAGAAACCGTCCACAGCTTGTCCGCAAACTACCCTCCCCCAGAAGTCAGCTGTCACCTGCTAAAGGTCACCCTGCCTTTTTCTTCCTTCCTGCTTTTTCTCTTTCCTCTCTCCCGCCCCTTCATCCCGTTTTCCATGTTTTGCCTAACGTCCGGCTTCCTCCCTTGCTCTCAACTGGCTTCATTATCTCAGCCGAGCTCCTGCCTTCCCCAGCCACCCCACCCCCACAGAAACATGGGGTCCTCCACCTGGCTGGCAGATGTGGGGTGTCCGAGAAAAGCCAACATTTCAGATGCATGCCCACTCAGGGTACGGATGGAATACTTAAAGAAGGCTTGGTTGCTCAATGAGTAAATGGAAGTTTGTGCTTGGGACCCCAGCAAAGCAGGGTGTGAAAATACTAATTTTTGTAAATAATTATATACGGAATGTTTTTTAAAGCATCAAAATAGTTACCATAGGAAAAATGAGAACTTTGTCAGACCTCCTCACACTTTATTTTATAGCTTTGTCTTTCCTGTTTAAATCACAAATTGGAGGGACGGGCGGGATGGATGCTGAAGGTACCTCACACCTTCAGACAGGCCTGCCGGGACTACGGAGAGGCAGGGAGTCTGGGCAAGTGGGCGCTGGGCCCAGAGCAGTGTCTGTTACCTTTTCCATGCGCTCAATCAGCCTGTCCAGCTCTCCGATCCTCTGGTCCTTCTCCTCGAGGCTGATCTCCGCCACTTCCATCTTTTTATTGGCTTCTTCAATAGCTTTCAGAAAATTCTTGGTTTCTTCCTGCAAAAGAAGCACATTGTTCTCAGCACAGCCTTGGAGTCCCGAGGCTGCTAACTATGGTCCAAACAGCGCCGGCCTTGCTAAATCATGATGTCTCTCTAAAAGCATACCCTTGGGGCCTAGGAGTGTAATGAACTCAGATCAGGGACTCCCATGATTCTGATTCTCACCTGGAAATAAAGAAACATCGTGTGGCTTTTTAATGGGCCCAGTTCTTTTTTCTCCTTTTCCTCCCTGACTCCTTATGTCTAAAAAAACAAGCCTGCGAATGTTATTTCTCCCTTGACTGGATGTTCAACGTGTCAGTGTATTTGCCAACAATATAAAGGGAAGTAGGGCCATATCTGGCATTGAATGCAGAATGCCTAGACCCTTCTCCCATATCGCAAAGCCCCAAAACTCGGTCAACCATTCAGCGCATTTATAGAGCTTTAAAAACACAAGATAAGGCAGGCGCGGACTCCCGGCCTTCGAGGAACTCACACTCGCTCCTAGAGAAGCCAGGCTGTGAGCTGTACAGTCCACCTCTAGTAACAGGGACCGCAGAATGCCACAGCAGAGCGCAGAAGGAGTGTGGGCTTCCCAAACGCACAGGACACTTCTCATGGATGGCAGGGACTTCACGCATGGGGAGGGTGGCACTTTCAAGGCTTTGCCTGAGCTCAGGGAGGAGCAAGGGCAGGGAAGGAGGGCATCTCGGGGCAAGGGGAGCAAATGGCGGGAGAGAGGGCGCAGCTGCACGCAGGCTGGCAAGTGGCAAGCCCAGCCAGAGAAACGGGTGTGGTCAGAGGCAGAGACTGGGGGCTCTCCTGAGCAAGGAGGGGGACGTACAGAGGGGGGGAGAAGTGGGGGAGTGAGCGCGCCAGGGAGTAAGCACCTTGACCCTCACCCACGTTAGAGTCCGCTGACGCCTCCCAGCGGAAACCCTGCTACCTCAGCCTCCCAGCAAGAACGGGCCGAACGTTCTCTGTTGCCCCATCGGCAGCTGGGACCTACACACCAGGAGAGCCTCCTTCTCGGCGCTGTGGTTCTGCCGCTCTTCCTGCAGCTTTTCCTCGTACCAGTTGTACAGCCTCTTGGTCATCTCCCTCATCACCTCCGCGTTGGCTTCCTGGGAGGACTGCACCTACAAGGACGCTCACGTCAGAGCTCCGGCTTTTGCCGGCTCCGGGGAACCGGCACCTCTCACGGCGTGTGCGGGAGACAGAAGCGGCCGGGACCCGTGGGGCAGGGACAGCAGGAAGGGGGGGCCGAGCCGATGGGAAGAAAGAGACAAGGCGGTACTTGACACAAAGACCCTCCACGTGAGTGAATTTTTCAAAAGACAGAAATGTACCTAAGTATCAGCCCTGTCCCCCCAGTTTAGCCACTTTTAAACTGAATTCTCCCAGGGCGCCCGGCTGTCTCAGTCGGTTAAGGGTCTGACTCCGTTTCGGCTCAGGTCATGATCTCAGGGTTGTGAGATCCAGCCCCAAGTCTGGCTCCGTGCTGGGTGTGGAGCCTGCTTCGGATTCTCTCTCTCCCTCTCCCTCTGTCCCTACCCCCACCTCTAAAAAATTTTGAATTAAAATGTGTCCATGCTTCAGTCTCCTTAATCCCTTTTTTTAAGGACTTTTCCTGCCTAATGTCTTTTGATCTTGAAATTTTATTATCTTTTATGCTATCAATTTTAACAAACTTTTTTTTCTGGATGAGATTTCCACACCCTAATGAACCTCAAAAGAGATGCTTTTTAAATTCTGGAATATTCTGTTGTAGGCTGACAAAAAGATCACTACACTATTAGAATTGGGTCGGAGTAGGATAAGCAATAAAATTTAAAAATTCAAAGGTTACCTATTGAAGGAAGGAATAAGAGACAAAAGGGGATATTACAGATACAGATATTCTACTTCTGAATATATTGTTTTGTAGATTTGACTCTGAATTAAGTAAATCCTTTATCTGTTATAAAAAATAAATAAATTTCAAGAAATTACCTACCAAGACCATTCAATGGGAAAAGAATGGTATTTTCGACAAACGGTGCTGGGACAAATGGATAGCCACACACAAAAGAACGATGTTAGACAGACACCGAACACACCATAGCCAAAAATTAAGCCAAAATGGATCAAAGGCTTAAATGTAAAAGCCAAAACTATAAAACTCCTCTAAGAAAACATGAGGTAAATCTTGGTGACCTTTGGTGAGGCAATGGTTTCTCAGGATACCAAAAGCACACAAGTGACAAAAGATAAATAGAAAGACTTCATCAGTATTTAGTATTAAAACTTCTATGCTTCAAGGGATTCCATCAAGAAAGTGAGAAGACAGCCCAGAGAGTGGGAGAAAAGATCTGCAATCACATATCTGGTAACTTGTACCCAGAATATATGAGGAATTTTTACAATTCAATAGTAAAATATCCAACTTTAAAATGGGTGAAGGCTCTGATAGATTTCTTCTTTGGAAAGATATACTAATGACCTAGAAGCACATGAAATATGCTCAACATCATCCGTTATCAGAGAACACAAAACCACAACGAGATACACTTCCCACTCCTGGGATGGCCATCAGCAATGAGGCAGTACCGAGCATCGGTGAGGATGTAAAATGGTGCAGGCATATTTCTAGATTACCTTTCATACAGTTTCACACAGTTTGGCTCTTCCCCCCGCACCACCACGTGCATACGTTATTTTAAAATTTTGTTACGTCAGAAAAGTGGGGAAGCCTTTGAAGGCAAGTTGCCCACGTGGAGTTGAATCTGTCCCATTAATTACCCTGGCCAAAGAGTACCTAGGAGAGACTTAAGTTCAGCTCATGTAAGAAATCTGGAGCCAGCCTTTCCATACATTTGTGCCTTCCTAAATATTGCATCTAGAAACATTCCCACCTGGTCTGGGGAACACTCAGCCAGGGACTCCTGGTTCCTGTGCAGGCCCAGCTCAGGAGAGAAGAAAAAGTCAGCAGTACTTTCTGGCTTTTCCAGCAACACACCTCTTTTTTTCAAAGCTAACTCTTATTCAGACACACAGTATATGAAATAATAAAGAGAAGAGCTGCCCTGTTTGAAGTGAGGCAAAGAGCAGCTGATCTACTCTCGAGCAATCTGGTCAGGGTGTTTGTGTTTGGCCAGGCAGACTGTGCGGGCACAAACCCATGGGGTGACAATCGCAGTGACGACACAGTGTAATGTGGCAGCCCCTCCCTCCGTGTGAGGCAGCCCCACACGAAGGGGGACCACATGTCCCTGTGTGTGTCCCTAACTCAATTTAAAAAAAAAATTATTTGAGAGAGAGAGAGAGAGAGGGCGTGCGAGCAGGGGGAAGGGCAGAGGGAGTGGGAGAGAGAATCCTCAGCAGACTCCCCGCTGAGCACGGAGCCCAACGCAGGGCTCCATCCCACGACCCTGAGATAATGGCCTGAGCCGAAACCAAGAGTCGGGGGCCCAACTGACTGAGCCACCCAGGCGCCCCTCCCCCAACGCAATTCTTAATAGCACCACCTTTCACTCCCAAACGTATTCTGGTTTGAGCAATAGATTATGTGGATACACTACCTAGGAGGTACTCTCCCTCTAGGATTGCCTAATGCTGTGTTGAACACAATTGGAAAGCCACAGACTTAAGTACGAACAAATTCATTCAGGAAGTAATTTACCGAGTGCCTTCTACGAGCCACCCAGGGGTCTGCTCCTACCAGGGGTAGGAGATCAATCCAGCCTTCACATCCAGAAGGGGCCTTAACACCTCCAAGGCAGGAGAAGCCCCGCTGAGGAATAGGCACAGCCTGGTGGACAAGAGGGACACTGCCCGGAGCCCTCGGTCACCCACGGATCTTCTTCCTGCGTGCTCTCAGGCTCTTTCTTCTCACGCCAGACAGAAAGACCTCGAGACGTCAGAGAAAATCTAAATAGCGAAGCTTCTGAAGTCCCAGGCCTGTGGGCACCCCCAGGGCCCTCTCAGTATGAGACAGCAGCGCCCTGACGATGGTCTCAGCAGCCCTTGAGGCTGCCGGGGCCGGGGCAGGAGTGCCCGCTGGGGGTCTTCACGGGGCACCCCAATCTAGACTGACAGCAGCGAACACAGAAACCCCCTCAGTGCCCTCAAGCCCGGCCCTGTGGAGTTGGCCACAAAAATGTGGGAAAGGAGATGGAATTACCGAAGATGGGAAGAAAGAGGAGAAACGGGAAAGAAGAGAAGGATCAGGGGGACATCAGAGCTCCCCCACTTTACCTTCATTTTCAGCAGCTGGTTTTCAACTTGCGCCACCTCCAGCTGCCTCTGCTTTTCCTGCAGCTGGCCCATGGATGCTTCGTAGGTCTGCTGCAGATCTCTCATTTGATCCTTAATGCTGCTATTTTCCAAAGTAACATCCACCAGGGTTTTCTAGGGACACGAAAAAGAAATCAAAACCAGATCCGGCAAAGTGAGTAAACATGGCCAGAGGCATGCACCGGGACATCCCTTTGCCATTAACCACTGAGAGAGAGGTCAGGCCCCGGCAGCTGCAAGCCGGGACGCTGGTGTCTGGGGGGCTGAGGGTCCCCCCAGCCGTGGGCAAGAGGTCAGCAAGGCTCTGCCCACCCAGCGAGCCTCTGCCCACTGCTTAGGATGGACGGAAACGGCCTAAAATGGAGTCTTTCCAAGGAAAAATGTTCATAATGCATCATTTCACATAGAAAAAAATTGGGTTTTGGGAAAATAGTAAGGCTAGAACAAATCCCATTTTGAGAAGGAAAATGTATAAGCATTTGTTCAAATGTATTTATGCAGAGAAACTTTTTTTAAAGACTAGGATGGATTTCACCAAAATCCAAATAATAGGTTATCGCTATGTGGGAGGATTACAGAGGATATCTGTTTCCTTCCCTGTGTCTTCTGTATCTTTCAAATTCCCACAACAAAATCGAAAAACAAAACGTGTTTTGGAGAATGGAGATACTGCCCTTCTTCCTTAAAGGGGCCGTCACTGCTGTGTTTGTGGCCTGCCTGTCAGCACGGCTGAGGTGCTGGTATGGCCGCAAGGGCGTCACCCTCCCCTCGCAGAGCACAGTGGCGACGAAGGAGCACCAGGAGCAGAGGCTGGTGACTCGGGTGCCTGCCAAGCGTCAGAAGCCTGTTGATTACTGCTCCAGGCCACCCACCGGAGCAAGAACGATTAAATACATACTGGTGTTTAGTTAATGCTTTGGGTTCTACTTGGTTAACTCCTCGTACAGAGAATGGCCTCCATAACCCGAATTCTCACCACTGGGCACCAGGATATGGGCACCATATCTACCACCTCCCCAGGTCGCGCTCAACTTTCAGTTAGACGTGGAAACGCTGGTGTTGGACCCATTTTCTAACACCTTTGTCCTCTTTGTAGATGATCAGTCCCTGAAGGTTCCTCAAGTCCTTAGCCTCCCCTTTGGATAAAAAAACCTCCTTGATTCAGGAGAAAAGACTTTTGATGGAGGTACACTGATATTAAAGAATATACAGAAGCCATTTGGAAGCACAGAATCAGAAAATATTTGAGCTGCAAGGGGCTTTAGAAACCACCTGGCCCCACCACCCCCCTCCAAGGCCCACTGGCTTTACAGATACAACTCTTGTGCTCATGAGCCTACATCTGGACCCAGAGACCAGAGTTCTAACCCTGGCTCTGCTACTAGCTAGAAGCTAGACACCTCGTTCCAGTCATTTCTCTCTGCTGGCCTCAGCTTGTTGATCCATAAAACAAGGGGACTGGAGATCAGCAGTTCCTTCCCGTTCTGACATTCTTTGAAATCAAACCAAGGGTCTGGTCTCATGGTCAATAATAATGAACATGGGACCGTCTGGGCAACGGGAGAGGTCAGGACCTTGCAGAATTAAGAAACCAACTATCTTCAGACTCACTTGAATTTCCTGGCTGTGATATGGTGCCTTTCTTTTCTCCTTTTTCTCCTTCTTCTTCTTTTTAACAATAGTTTTTAATCTTTTCATGATAAAGCTCCTCGGTCTGCCCCAGGCCAAGAGGCTGGACCATAACTAGGAACCAGTCAGGGTACCTGGGTCACCGCTGACCCTGTTCTAACGCTGACCTCACGGCCTGGGGCGCCAGTGGGATGGCAGATCGGAAGTAACGGTGGGGAAGAAAAACCAGAAAGTCAGTACCCGTACCAACCAGGTCTGAGCTCAGGGGAGGTGCGGCATCTCCCAGTTAGCCGGGAGTGAGAAGATGCCCCAGAGAGAAGGAAAGGGACCTGGCCAACCCCTCTGGATGGCAGGAGGAAGGGAAAGCCAAGGCTACTGACTAAACCAGACCCAGAGCAGGGCCAGGCCTGAGGCCAGGCGAAACCGGGCGTGCACTAAGAAGGACCAGGAAAAGGGTGAGGCTCCGAGACCCCACCAGAAGTGGCCTCCCAGCCACCGGGGCTCCCTGCGGCGCCCACTCTGTGGTTGGCAGTGCTGCTCTACCAGCTGTTACTGGACCTTAGGTCCATGGGGAAGGGGATGATCCCAACATGAAAATCTGTTTATCTGACAAGTCATTTACGTAGAACAGGGAAGGACAGTAATAGCCGTGGGACCTTTAAGAGGAGGGTAAAAAGGTAAGAACCAAATGAACTTGGAGGCGAGGCAGAAACGATTGTTATATCTGGAAACTAAAGCCAAGGAAGCGGTTTCTGGTGAATGTTAACACTCTGTCCTGAACACTTTCAGGTTAATTTGCATAGGAGATGCAGGACTCGGCTGGAAGGTGACAGCAGGTGGCACTGGCCTGGTGACCTCCCAGCAAATCAGATTACTCACGAGAGCAATCCTCCGGAAGTGGAAGTGGAAGCGGATTGACAACACACATCTGGAGGATCCTGAGTCTCTCTGCTTCCCCTGTCGGCTTGCGTAGGATTTCTTTTCTTGCGAAATAATTTCTAAGTTAGGCAAACGTGCTTCACAGCCCCTGGGAGCTCCTGGCCACGCGTGACTACAGACCGCCTGTGATTAAGTCTGTCTTTCCCGTGCCTGGGTGGGGCTTCCTGAAACCAGGGCTGCAAGGAGCAGGGGCTGATGTGCAGTTCTAGGCACTGACACTTAAGACCCACTCGGGTACCTGCTGGAGAAAGGGCCACCTCTAGCATGGAGGTCAGGATCTAAACTCGCGTTTTAACAAAGGCAAAAACAAATTCAACTCAAAGGTTAAGAGCCTCCTCTTGGAAGCACTTCTTTTCACTCCCTTCACGTCCTGGCGGGGTCTTTACTGTGACCGTGCCTGAAGGATCCCGCATAATGATCTGAAGACATCCCGTGACTTGCTTTTCTACAAACGCACAGGGCCCACACCTGGTGAGGCGTGCCTGCCCCGCAACAGAGGGCCCCGGGCTAACGGTGAGCAGATGAGTACCTGCAGGCCGATGGAGTCCGACGTTAAGGCTGAGTTCGTGGCATTAAAACTGTCCAGGGCCGACGACTGTGTCTGGATGTGATTCTCGAGATACTCCTGCCGAGCCTGGGAAGCCTGGGCAGAGGATGAGGTAGTTACACAAAACCATATATACCCACAACAAGCTTCGGTTAGGCTAGAACCTTCTCCTGATAGTTCAAGTAGAGCTTAAGGTTACAAAGTCAACATCGGCAAGACCCAGAGAGGGGAAAGACATGAACCCTCTTCCTTCACATGTCCCTCCGCAGGGCCTCGCTTGGTCCTCACCATGCATGCGGCAGCCAGAACACCCCGCTTTATATGGTGGAGGGAACCGAATCCGAGGAGGTCAGGGATTTGCGCACCAGCAGCTGAGAAGGGGCGCTGCTGCGCCTAGGACCCAGCTGGAACATCTTCTCCTGCCAGTCTGCTCTTCCTACTCACCACAGAAAGAACACGCGGGCGGCTCCCACCCTTCTCCAGCGCGTCCTGGGGCTGCTGCGCCCTTGTGTGGTCCCTGCCAGGCGTGCATGTGCAGCACGTCGGAGACGCGTTCAGCAGCGAGAGTTCCAGCGGGGTCACGCCAGACGTGCAAGAAGGGCCGGCCATACACGCAGCCGGAGGCCGGGGAAGTAGGGGTAAGGGCGCGGGGTAGGCTCACGGGTGGACGCCTGTGGGGTGTGGGGGCCCACGGAACAGGCAGTGGCCTGTGGGGGGGGGACCTGTCCCCGCGGGCCCGTGGGAACGGGCTGGGCGGCCGTGGCGCGTTTATCCGCCCGCACCCCTGTAATCAAGGCCGTGGCTCGCTCTTCAGCGGGTCATCTCCCAGCCAAGCCACGCGCCAAACTCTAAGGCACGACTGTTCAGCCGTGCTTCCTTCCTGCAGATACTCACCTTTATGGAAAGTGTGTCATATATACGTGCACTTTTTTTTCTTCAACATTATGAATCACAAGTATAAAAAAAATTTTCTTTCCTCATGGGCATTAGCTTGTTTAAACCAGAGGAATGTTATTTTTTCTTAAATTTGAAAGTAATACCTTCACGTAGTTCAAACATTTACAAAATATAAAAGGTAGACACTAAAATAAATCAATCACTCGTGTCCCATCTGCTCAGGTACCACCTGGCCCGCTCTGCCCCTCAACTAAGAATCACGGTTAATTGGTTTCTTGATTATCCTTCTAGTAACTACTTTTGCATCCACAGAACTATCTAACCATACTTATTTTCCCCTCCTGTTTTACACAAGTGGTAGCTCACTGTACATATTTCCTTGTATTTTCCTTTTTTTTTTTTTTTTACCATCTACTCTGTATCTTTGAAATCTTTCCGTATCTCTTTCTGAGGAGCTTACTTGCTCTTTTTATTCTTACCTCCCCCTCTCCCATTCCCTCCTCCTCCCCCTCCACCTCCTCCTCCCTCATTTTTTTAAAAGATTTATTTATTTATTTTTAAAGCGAGAATGGGGGGGTGGGGGGGAGGGCAAAGGGAGAGAGACTTAAGCCTTAAGCACACTCCATACACAGCGCAGAGCCTGACGCAGGGCTCGATCCCACAACTCTGAGATCATGACCTGAGCAGAAATCAAGAGTCTAATGCTCAGCTGACTGAGCTACCCGGGCGCCCCCTTCTTTTTTTTTTTTTTTTTTTAATTCTGTGTATTCTATTGTAGAGTGGTAATTTATTTTACTTTCCCCTTTTTTTTTAAGATTTTTTTTTTTATTTGACAGAGAGAGACTCAGCAAGAGAGGAAACACAAGCAGGGGGAGTGGGAGAGGGAGAAGCAGGCTTCCCGCTGAGCAGGGAGCCCGATGTGGGGCTTGATCCCAGGACTGGGATCAAGACCTGAGCCAAAGGCAGACACTTAACGACTGAGCCACCCAGGCGCCCCTTACTTTCCCCTTCTTGATGGACATTTAGGTCTCCAATCTTGTTACTATTGCAAACAATGCTGTGATAACTAAGCTCATACATACGTCATTTCACATGTGAGAGTTTACAGAATACATTCTTCAGAACAGAATTGCTAAGTCACAAGATAGAGGCCTTTGCAATTTTGTAGATACTGCCAAACTGCTCACCCTCAGAGGGATTCAGAATTACATCCTATCCAGCAAACTGCCTGTTCTCCACAGCACTGCTAATTGTGTCTTGTCCGCTCCTACAGGGATGCCAGTCTCATAGGTAAAAATTACATCTCAGGATGGTTTGATTGACTTTCTCTTACTGAGAATGAGGCAGAGCATCCTGTCAGACATTTAAGAGCTCTTCATCCTTCTTTTACTAAAAGTTATCTATAACAAATATCTTCCCTATTTTTATGAGTTGTGGCCTTTTCTTCTTGATGTCTGTACACTCTTTAAATACTCAGAAAATTAGCCTGTTATCTAGGATATGAAGGGCAATCATTTTTGCTAGGTTTCTCATTGGACTTTGGTGTTTTTGCCAAAACACATATTTTATTTCAGTGTGGTCAAAGTTATGAAACTTTTCTTTTGCGGTTTTGGGATTTCATGTCAGAGTAACAAAAAGCCTTCCCCATCCCAAGAGTATAAAAGAACTCACACAGGTTTTCTTCTGGCACTTTTAAATATTATCTTCAGAATTTAAGTCTTTGATCTCTTTGGAATTCATCCAGATATACGTCTGTCATGATAGCATATAAGTTGTCCCCTCAGCATATACTGACTTGTCCATTTCCCTCCCTTTATTTGAGTTGCTACATTTATCATATATTGGTGTACATTTCTGGGCTTTTTTCATGGATGCTTATTTATTTATGTGTCAATATGATACTGTCCTAATCTTTGAGGCTCTCTCAGTTTCTTGTAATATGAATAGAGCTAGTCTTCCTCATTGCATTTTTTTTCCCAGAATTTCCTCAACTCTTCATATTTATTTTCAGTATACTTTGGAATCATCTAGTCCAGTTGTAGAAACAACGTAAAAATCTGTTGGTATTTTTATGGGGTTACATTACATTCATACATTAACCTGAATAGTACTGACGTCTTACGAAGTTGGCGCTTCCTGTCTAAGCATATGGTATGTCTTTCCTCTTGGTACAGTTTACTCCTAGATATTTGGTAGTTTTCTGTTGCTCTTATTTCTTCTTACCAGTTGTTTTTCATATACTGAAATCTACTTGTTTGTATCTACTAATTTTTTTACCCTGCTACCTTACCAAGTTGTTTTTATAGTTGTTTTTTATTTTTCACTGGTTCACTTGTGGGTATATAATCATATAGTTTGTAACAGTGACAGTTTTACATTTACCTGTCCAGTTTTTATACCTCTAAATTCATTTCTCTTGTTTAATTCCATTGGCTAGTCTCTCAGGTACAATCGTAAATCGTAACGATGATAGCTGGCTTCATCGTCTTATCCCTGACTGTGGAGGGAATGCTTTGAATGTAAAGATTATTCTTGCCACAAAAACATCCCTTTAAATAATAAACTTAATTCTGTGATAAAATTCCCTCAGTTCATTTAAAATATGATTCCACTCGCAAAGAACATCATAAACTCAAATATGTTCAGGCACCAGCCACTCAGAGGGAGTACTAAGCCCTACCACCCCTCCATATTCCCAAGTCACTGAGATATTCACTTACTGACAATTCCTGGGTGAGCTGTCGAATCTTCTGTCTCATTTCGTCATAGTCTCCATACATTCGCTTCCTTACTTTTTCCAAAGTGGCTCTCACCTGCAGCCCACAAAGATGCTAGTTAGAGATCAAGCTATAACATTTTCATGTGAGGTTTGCTGAAACCCAAATGACAGGAGGGCCCCACAAAAAAACAATTTTAAGAACATGACAGTTTGGGGGACGCCTGGGTGGCTCAGTCAGTTAAGCGTCTGCCTTCGACTCAGGTCATGATCCCAGAGTCCTGGGATCGAGGCCTGCACTGGGCTCCTTGCTAGGAAAGGAGCCTGCTTCTCCCTCTGCCTGCCGCTCCCCCTGCTTGTGCTCTCTCGCTCTCTCTCTGACAAATAAATAAATAAATCTTTAAAAAAAAAAAAAAAAAGAACATGACAGTTTGGGAGATTAAGGGAGAAAATCACTCCTAATATCTAGTTAGAAGCTAAGAGAATTATCCAAATAATACCAATAATAATAAATACGCGTTATGATTATATATTATTATAATTATTAACAAAGGTTAATTATCCAAATAATAAGCTCTGAAGAAAAAATGGTTTGTTGAAATTCAGCTATCACCTATCAAAACACATTCAGGCAAGACTTACCCCTTTTCCTATCATGCATTCTTTTTTTTTTATTATTTATTTATTTATTTATTTGACAGAGAGAGACACAGCGAGAGAGGGAACACAAGCAGGGGGAGTGGGAGAGGGAGAAGCAGGCTTCCCGCAGAGCAGGGAGCCCGATGCGGGGCTCGATCCCAGGACCCTGGGATCATGACCTGAGCTGAAGGCAGACGCTTAACGACTGAGCCACCCAGGCGCCCCTATCATGCATTCTTATAAGTTGAAAATTTATAACAAGTCGATTCTATAAACAGGTGGCTAGGAGAACCAAAAAGCAACCTCTAATTTTCCCTTTCTCTGCTCTGACTACCAAAGAGCAATGAAATATCTGGAATATGCAGCAGGGAAGTATGAGCTTAGAGAGACCATAAATTTGAACATTAGTTCCTCGATAATCACCAATAACACACAAGGCACGAAGTATAACGAAGGTCAGGGTGATGCCCTAGACACCTGTCCACACAACCACTGATGAAGTCCCTCTATAGTAGCGCTTCTGAAGGAGGAACCAGGTCCTTAAAAATTTTATGAATAAAAACAAAAAAAACCTTGACCCTATCTCCTCCCTTCTGCTGCCCCTCTGGTGGAGAGCTCAGCGGTCCTCAAATAGAAAAGAAGGATCAAGGGAGCCCTCTGCAGAGAGCTCCAGAACTTCCACCGCAGAAAGGGCTGGAAGGCAGCAGTTGGTTGGGATAAGGGGTATGTAGGGGACAGCATGGGAGGGGCAGAGACTTCACCCTGAAGCTGTATGTGCATAGCCAGCACATGGTTTTAAATCAGACTGCATGTTTATTAAGGGCTGACTGCATCTTGGTGAAGATTTCGGCAGCGGGGTCTAAGTTAAGGTGCCAAGCTTTCCCTAAACGAATTCTGATAACAGAGTCTACTTTTGTGCTGTTATCTACAAACATTTTGGGAAAATGAGGCCCAAAACACAACTCTTCACTCTGGGCAGACAGAATGGCTTTCACCGTGGCCCTGAGTTGGTGCCCCTGCTGCTCACCAGGGCGCAGTGGGCCGGCTCTCAAGCGGGTGGCAAATACTTCAGGAAACCAGCCGGGCCAGAGTCACTCATGGCAAGAGAGAACCAACAATCCCCTAAACGTGCTTAGGGATAAGCAGGCCAGGGATGGATCCGAAGTCACCTATAGGAGGTGGGACCTGGAAATTAACTTTAAGTTGCAGGTCCCAGTGGAGGCTGGTAATTCAGGTCAGAACCACCCCTGTGTCCTAGGCACATGTCATCCCTGGTTCACAACCAGCCTCCACCTGCTGTTTGTGTCTTGGGCAACTGGCGACTCTCGGCTCTGCTTCAAAGGTTTACCTCTAAAGCAGTACCATGTTATCTAAGACATATGAGAAGGGACTAAGTGTTTCCACGAGAAAAACAGGGGAGACTAGGAATGTTCAAGTTGCTTCTATATAGGAAAAATGATTAAAAATAATATTTGCAGAGTAGGATGACTGGGGATTTGAGGCTGATGGCTGTCACACTTGTCCTGTGCTTTTGTGTACCTTTTTTGGTTTTCCTTCATTTTCTCTGTTAAGCATTTATCATTATTATTTTCAATTAAGACAAGATGTTTATTCCTTTTTAATTATGTAAGTATCCAAATCTTTCAAGACTCATGAAAGAAGGTGCTCAAAATATTTATTATTTTTAATATTTGATAAGAAATGTTCTTTTAAAAAATCCATACGAAAGCTGACAACATGACTTTGTGTCTTCTCTGCAAACACTCCAAATAAAAAGCTGGCAGTTTTGACTTCAGGGGGCCCCTCCCAACCTCCACAATCTATACAGGAAAAAACTGAAGCCCGGGGAGAACAAAAGCTTGGCTGGGCCAAACACAGAGATGGACACTGAACCGAGGTCCAGGGGATACCCCACTGCCCCACACTGTTCTGCTTCTCATGAGCACTTTCTAGTCCACAGGCTGGTGCTCAGGGCCCATCAGTGTCAGAGAAACTCATTCCCTCTCCATCTAATCACACTGATTTGGTCAACAAAGGCATTGGGAGGCCAAAGAACTAAAAAGGAATGGAGATGGATGGATGGATGGATGGATGGATGGATGGATGGATGGATGGATGGATGGAGACACAGATGAAAAGAAATAAAAAAATTTAGAAGGAAATGTTCCTTAACCACAGTTCTAATTAAATGATGGAATTATGGATGGTTTTATTTTCTTATTATACATTTTTATATTTTCCAAATTTCTTTGAAAAAAGTGTGTAATTAAAAAATTAAGAAATGTAATATTAAACACAAAGAAATGACATTGATTGGCCTGAGATGGACAGTGTCTACTCTGTTTGACTTCTCAGCATCTGTTTCAACATAACTGATTGGTCTGAACCAACCATAATCAATTTCACTCCCCTCGCCAGGGGATCCATCCAGGGATGGATTGGGAATGGGCATGTGACCCAACCCTGGCCAAGGAGACATGAGGAGAAGCCTAATAAAGGGCCTCTAAAAAGAAACCAGAGATGAGTGGCCTCTTTTCTTCCTCAAGACACCATGATATTTTCAGATGATGCCACGAGCCTGAAGCTGAAGGCCAGAACCAAGGGAAACTCAGACAAGTAGGACTGGAGCCTGGACATGCCCTGGTCAGAGCCTACCTACCCCTACACGTATCCCCACACGAGACAAATTTCCTTTCTGAGTTGGCTTCTCTGTTCCTTACAGCCAAAAGCAACCAAATGTATACAGTTTTTGAAACTCATGTGCTGGGAATGGAGTGTCCAACATAATAAGCAAAGATCACTTAAAAGCCCCCATATTATACACGGAAGATGGGAGTTATTTGGTCTCCTGAGCATCCCTACTTAGTCACCTCCAGCAGTTCACTCTAGACCTCACTGCAGAATTACATCTGCACCTTTAACATTACCGTGAAGATATGCAGAAACATTTCCATCCAAAATGGTCACGCTAGGAATTCTTCCAAAAGGCCTTATTACATTCACTCCACCGTCTCACATGCTACAAAAGGAGTATAAACAAAACAAACAAACATCCTTAAATGACTCACATCTCTGATGTAGTTCATCTCTTCTTTCAGCTGGTTGGTGGACCACCCATACACCACCATTTCTTTCTGCTCATTTGGATCCGATCTCCGCACCACGCCGTAGACAACACCCTGAGGAAGTTTCCTGGTTGGCTCCCCATTGCTTAGGTCAGGGTGCTTCAGGAAGGGAGAAAAGAGGAAAGAATAATGACTGTTTAGGCCTCATGGGAGCAGCTTTGAGAAGGGGTGCACTGGGTATGGGCATGCGGGCTGTGCGGGCACTGAGGAGCCGGGTGGCAAGGAGAGGCCGGAGGAGACCCAGCCGCTCACCCTTCTCCCGCTTGTTAACTGGCCTGGGCTGGGCCAGCTTTGCCCTAGAGGAAGGGCATCTTTCTCAAATTTCTACTGAAGCCCTATCCACCCACCTAAGAGTGCCTCTGCAGGGCCCCTCCGGCCTGGACGGGCGCCCTTCTCATTCTCACGAAGGTGCCAGATGGACCTGTGTTATCCCCTCGGGACAAGAGCAAGTGTCTGCACTCTCACAGTCCTCGTATCCTGGTAATGCTGCTTTTCCCCGTGATATCAGTTCCTCTGGATACCTTCAATCTCATCGCTAAATACAACCCTTGAAATGCATGAGGTTGAGATACTGGGGGAAGAATGCTGGCTGCCCTCTGGCAGTCAAATTGTCCCCTGAGGGTAGGACTGACCCTGGACCAGCTCTGAGCAAAGGAGGGTGGGGGGATGAGTACACAACCTGTTGTGACCATTCATGAAATATTTCTGAAAAGCCAGGCAAAAGATCCTTCCAGCACCTTAATTCCTTCACCTAAAGCTTTGATCAGTGTTGAAATGCAAACGCCCTTGGGAAGGGGTAATATGTCCAAGTCCTAACACACCTTTATAGAATGAAGGCTCAAGAAGCCCGAGAAAGGGAAATTAAGATTTGTTCAGCTTCTACCATAAGCCAGATACGTTCCTTAGCACGCTGAATCTTTACGACCACTCTGGGACAGAGCGATGAGCCTCTCCATTTGATAGCTGAGAAAACCAAAGTTCAGAGAGGTTAAATAACTTGCTTCCAGCCACATACCCAGATTCAAGGCCGATTCTCTGACACGAAGTATACCTCCCCATACTACAGGCTTTGTTAGGTGCAGGAGGCCAGAGTAAGAGCCCCCATGAGGGAGAAGGAAGGGCAGGACAAAACCAGGGACTGAGACTTCATAGACAAACCAACCTACATCCAGTCTCCCCTGGGGCTGACCCTGGTACCTTGATAATCACAGTACAGAAGCCTGAATTCCATAATGGCAACTCTGCTCTCCCACTAATTTTTTATTTTTTTAAGATTTCATTTATTTATTTGGAGCGGGGGGAAACATGAGTGAGGGAGGGACAGAAGGAGAGGGAGAGATTCTCAAGCAGACTCTGTGCGGAGCCGAACTCAGGGCTCGATTCCACAACTCCGAGATCACAACCTGAACTGAAATCAGGAGTCGGATGCCCAACCAAATGAGCCACGCAGGTGCCCTCCCACTAATTTTTAAACCACCATTGCATAAATCATGCACCTGCAAAATATTTTTGGCATACAAAATCGTAATTTGCATTTTAAAATCATTCATTTGGGCAGAATAAAAACTTTATGATCCCATTCATTTAAAGTTTGTCAGAGAAAAAAAGAAGAAGAAGGTAGCGGGAGGGGAAGAATGAAGCGGGGGAAATCGGAGGGGTAGACGAACCATGAGAGATGAGGGACTCTGAAAAACAAACAGGGTTCTAGAGGGGAGGGGGGTGGGAGGATGGGTTAGCCTGGTGGTGGGTATTGAGGAGGGCACATTCTGCATGGAGCACTGGGTGTTATGCACAAACAATGAATCATGGAACACTTCATCTAAAACTAATGATGTAATGTATGGGGATTAACATAAGAATAAAAAAAAAAGTTTGTCAGAGAAGGGTCTAAAAAGATACATGACAAATTATTAATAGTAATGACCTCTAAGGAGGGGACAGCATGGCGGGGCAGGGGTACTGGGTATCAGAACATCTTTCAATTCTTTCTTTATACCCATTTGTATTGTCTGTCTGTCTAGGATGGGAGCTTTAAAAAAAAACAAAAAAACAAAAAACTAGAAAACGAAACATCCATTGCTTCCCACCCTTCGGTACATATTTGGCAAGAGATGGGATATGACGGGTTGTGACACTCTGTATCTGCTTCCAGAAAATGATTCCGCTCGCGTCCTTGGTGCTTGGCTCCCACAGGCATTAAGGCAACTCTTGAAATTTGTATATAAATTTAGGCGGAGAGGCTGTTCCATGGCCCTTGGTGGAGTGACAAGCTGGGATTCCAGACCCCCAGTTTCCCAGACATATAATTAGGAAGAGGAAAAGCTCTACTGCAACTCCCCACATACCAGGCAACAAAAGCATGCTCTTTCAGTCAGTCTCCACCCAGTTCCTGAAAAACAAGCTGCTGAGGACAGGAGGCTTGGCTGAAAGGCTTTTCTGCAAGTCAAGTCTGTCCCAGATGGACCGGCTTTCAGGAAAACACTCAGGTGGCCGCATACAGAGGGCTGTGCCTCCCTGCCCAGCGGAGGGATGAGGACCAGCACCCGTGGAGGAGGACACACACAATGTCACAGACAACACAACGAGGTGTGAGAAACACAGCTCTAGACGTGGTGGCTCTAACAGTTACGCGTGGAAAGACATCGAAGGTCTGTGAAGTGAAAACCGGTCATTTCCATATTCTTGGGTTTTGTTTTTAAAATGTATGTTTGTGGGGCGCCTGGGTGGCTCAGTCGTTAAGCGTCTGCCTTCAGCTCAGGTCATGATCCCAGGGTCCTGGGATCGAGCCCCGCATCGGGCTCCCTGCTCGGCGGGAAGCCTGCTTCTCCTTCCCCCGCTCCCCCTGCTTGTGTTCCTGCTCTCGCTGTGTCTTTCTCTGTCAAACAAATAAAATCTTTAAAAAAATAAATAAAATGTATGTTTGTGTGCATAAAACATCTAGAAGGACGGAATCCAGACTTTTAATACCAGTGGCCTCAGTTGAAACGGGATTTCATTCTTTTTCCCCTTATGCTTCTGTAGGTCTGATTTTTAGCCAGAAAAAAAAAGGGGGGGGGTGTTATTTTTGAATGAATAACTTTCATTTCAGTTTTCAAAAAACTAAAAAATTACTACAAAGCCAAGGATAAATAATAGAGCCCAGAGAGGGGCCCGGCCCAGGACTCTGGTCAGGAGCAGGGCCGTCCTCCCGGGCCGCTCCACGCCGAGAGGGTTCCCGAGGCAGCGTGAGCAGCTGCGGCACTGTTTATGAAGAGCGAGCAGGGGACAAATACTGGTTGTCTCTTTTATTACACAGCCTCTTCTTTAATCCCCACCATAACCCTACCACATAAATATTATTAGTTCTCCCAAGGTGGCGACATTCAAGTGCCTGAGTACATCTTCCCAAATCTAAGCTCTTCCCTTTGACCACAAAGCCTTCACAATAGCTACGAGTCAGGAGTGAAACGGAATCTCACATCTCCATGTGGAAGCCCAGACCTCAGGGGCAGGGAAGCCAAGAGCCGGGGCCCCGGACCCAGTGGTCGGGGCCACTGGGAAGAGGCAGGCTCAGAATGTGGAGGCTCCTGTCCAGCCTCCTGGGCGCCATCTTCCCCTCTGCGCCGGCCCCCCCACCTCCTTTCTGTTCCTTTATCAACCTCCTTTTTGTCACATGGCATGACACGGGCCATTCCCTCTGTGTGCAGTGCCCACTGCTGGGCTGCAATGTCTCTCCCTCAAGGACATCTTCACTCAGACTGGTTAGGTCCCTACACCTTCACCACAACCATAACACAGTGACTATTAGTATCATCCTATATGGAAGGCCTGCTCACCCATCCACCGGGCCTTATTGGTCTTCTTTTCCATCACAGTCTCTGACACCTAAGTGACTGACAATGAATTTCTCAATAAATATTTGCTAAATGGAGAGGGAGCTTTAGAAGTTAGAAGAAATTCCGGGGACTTTCCCAGATCATGTAAATATGGTCCAGCTGAAGGGAACATCCTCTGCTCTTCTTAGATGGAGGAACAGGGAGCTGATGTTTGCCCCGGTCATAAAATCTCTACCCAGAGGAGTTGCAAAGGAGCCCAAGACTGCTATCGTTCTGACAAAATGTCAGTATGCTTTTGGTGAAAAACTGGAGAACACAGAAAAAAACAGAAAAAAGAGTTGACATGTTTAGCACAGTATCTGTGGCAGAATATTTTTCCTCTCAGGTCCTTTAAAATATCTCCCTATAAGATAAATATTAGTTTTTCAGGCATGATAACAGCATTGTGATTGTATTAAGAGATAGCCTTTATCTTTCAGAGAAACATGCTTAAATATTTACGATATCTGGGATACAGGGTGGAGGAAGCGGATGAGAGTACAGACCGGGCAGGACTGAGCCTGGGTTGAGGGCTCTGGGGCTGGGTGAAGGGTCAGTGATTCATCACACCATTCAGTCTCCTTTTGTATATGTTTAAAATTCTATGTAATTAAAAGTTGGGGTTTTTCTCTTACACTGTTGGTGGGAATGCAAGTTGGTACAGCCACTTTGGAAAACAGTGTGGAGGTTCCTCAAAAATTTATAAATAGAGCTACCCTATGACCCAGCAATTGCACTACTGGGTATTTACCCCAAAGACACAGATGTAGTGAAAAGAAGGACCATATGCACCCCAATGTTCATAGCAGCAATGTCTGCAATAGCCAAACTGTGGAAAGAGCCGAGATGCCCTTCATCAGACAAATGGATAAAGAAGATGTGGTCCATATATACAATGGAATATTACTCAGCCATCAGAAAGGATGAATACCCAACTTTTACATCAACATGGATGGGACTGGAGGAGATTATGCTAAGTGAAATAAGTCAAGCAGAGAAAGTCAATTATCATACGGTTTCACTTATTTGCGGAACATAAGGAATAGCATGGAGGACACTAGGAGAAGGAAGGGAAAAATGGGGGGGGGGGTTGGAGAGAGAGATGAACCATGAGAGACTATGGACTCTGAGAAACAAACAGGGTTTTAGAGGGGAGGGGGGAAGGGGATTGGTTAGCCCAGTGATGGGTATTAAGGAGGGCACGTACTGCATGGAGCACTGGGTGTTATACGAAAACAATGGATC